AAACATCACTAATAATATCATCACACCAACAAGGTATATGATGGCCGACGGCTACAAAAAAACGATATTTCAACTAAGGCTAAATATCAAATGCAGAAATGATTCACGCATGCTAATGGAAGTCAACAAATTCACGTTTCAGACATTTCATGGCTACAGGCATAAAAAAATAATTTAAAGTTCACATGATCTATAAAATGAGACATAAAGACTAAACTAATCTAGAACTGATTTGACACGTTGTGTCCAATTATTTTTAACATATTATATGAATAAATGATTTTGTGAACATAGCGTAGGCTTTTCATAAAAATAAATTATAATATGTATTTTTTGACATATAAAAAAGATATAAGTGGAGGCGTTTTATTTCCGCATTATCGCATATAGAGTTCAGACAGCCTATATAATATTGCCAACTTTAAACCCAAAACCTTTAGCAGCAAAATTTCAAAATACTCCTTAGGTAGGTATATGTTACATAATTTTATTTATTTGTCTTCTAAAATGTTGTGTACATAATGTGTGTATAATTGGACAGCAAATTTTAAATAATTTTTCATCTTTTATTACTTGTCATATTTCGTTTTCTGGTTCTGTACCTAAAGAAATAAAGTAAAAAAACTTAGGTCATTTATACAACAAAAACTTATTTCGATAGCATTTAAACCTCTCTTAGGTCATCTTAGTTGACCTACTTGCCAAACAACTTCTACCTATAAATAAATAAATATGTTGGGACATTAACACACAGCACCATCTAGTTCCATGATAAGCTACGAGGCTAGTGTTATGGATACCAGATAGTTGATACACTACACATAAATAACTTTAAATACATACATCTTATAAATATAAACACCCATAACTGGAGTACAAACATTGGCGCTACACAAATGAATGCCCCCAGCGGGACTGGAACCCGCGACCGCTGGCACAGCAAGTAGGATCACTACAAACTGAGCCAAACGTGTCGTCAAGTATAAACTACCTACTTGCCTTTTAGCTTCATAAGCCAAGAAGTTTCACGTAGTTTTTTGCTTATATACCTACGTATATATGGCACTAATTTTCACTTTTACATTTTTTACCGAATCCCCTAACTACCAGTGAAGGACCGTTAAATCAGTCAGAACGTGCTCCAACCATAATTAATTTAACAGGAACCCATTTTCAATTCCTGAGTTAAAGTTATATTAGAAAATGGTGTCAAGTTGCGCTTTCTTATTCTATTATAATTAAAAATAATTGCGCATATTTTACATTAAATAAAGAAAATTGTATAAACATGACATACATTAAATTTTACATGAATAGTAAATACATACGTATCGCGAATAGTACGAGAGAAGTCATCAGTAAGTCACACCCCATATTTCCATGTAAAGGGGACACTATGCAAAAAAATTGCACACTTATGAGTCAGTGACTTTGACACAAATATAAGCTACCATTGCAGCACTGATTCTAAGTTTTATTAATATTTGATAAACATTGGTCGCGGAATCAGTTCCGTTTTAACACAACCATAAAATAATGTTAATTAATAATGTCTAGTAAACTTTATAAACACTTAGTTTTTATTTTACTTTATAAGTATTTCCTCCACATACACTGTATATATTTGCAAAGAAAATATAATATCAACTATTTGATAGATTAAGATCTAAACTATGAAACTTACATATTTATAATACGCGCGTGGAATGCTACGAATATTATTGTTAATCGTTAGTCGATAGTCATATATTTAAACTTTTAATAAGCTTTCATTTTAATTATTATAAAGTATGTATTGTATAAATATTATCTAATTTATCTAAATGATCATTGAATTGATTTAAGGAAAATGGAACCTCTTCGCCTAAAATTTCAAAATACTGAGTGAATACGAAAACATGGAAAGACAGCGTTATATTTAGTGGAGTCTCGCCTTTAAATGCAAATTTGATAAGAAATGTTATTACGGAGAAACCATTGACGAAAAGCACTTGACAAAGACATTTTAACAAACATACAAAACATTTAACTGAATTGAGAAACTTTTTTTTGAGTGATACAACTTCAGCACTTTAATCATGAAAACAATATATAAATAAACATGATATCAGCAATACAAGCAAAATTAAGATAATTATAAAAATACGTTGTGTAGGTAGGTAGGTACTAAGGCAATCCATGGATAAAATACAACCGTAGGTATATTATAAATATAGTTAGGTACTTGTATTATAAGAAGGCACACCGAATTTAAAATTATTTAACTAAAAAAATATTCCTGCCTTAAGGGGTTTTTTTTATTTTATATGGAACAACCCTAAATCTATTTATAAAATAAACAAAAATCGATTCGCAACTGGCAACGATTACATACATAACATGTAAAATTGTTATATTGAGAGAGTATTCTTAACTTTTTTTAAATTACTCAAAAATATAATAATGCAACTTAAGCCTTAAAATGTTACTTGCTACAGTCAAAAAAAAAGTTCATTAATCTTCTGCATATTCGCGATACAAATACTAAGGTAAGGTCACACTAGCGGCCTTGTGAGCTCACGTTTGTCGATAAGCGTATGAACGATACAATCTGACGTTGATCTAGATTTAGTTGGGCAATCTCATTAATACTGATATGTTTGAGCTGAATTTATGTTTGTTGTCAATTTAGGTATGACCTTTAAAAGTAACACTTTAAAAAAAAACTTAAAAACACGTTGTGACATGCCATGGCAGGATTTTTACCTTCTTCGTCAGAGCAGCTCGGAATCAAAATGGTATTCGTTTTTCGCCGGCTGATGAGTTTCTCGTTTTCTTAGCAAAACTGCACTTCGAGCTTCATTGTTAACTTCCTCACGGACTGACTACACTGACTCTAATTTAAATGACGATTCAAAAGTTAAAAGCCTGTATGTAGCCTAATTGAATGAAGTTAATTTTCATATTACGTACTTATAAAGTTTCAAATCAATACTGCAATTAGAAGTAGGTTAAAACCTGTTTACAAGTTAATTAAAAATTAGTGTTCTGATCATCCGATGGAAAATGAAATATTACAATAGAATATTAAACGAAATATTCAACGGATCATTACATAACGGAACATCAAATCCCATTCATAGTAACCGAATTCGCACTTGATCATTTTTTTCGTCGCATTATTACTAGCGACTCACGCTAGCTTCACAAATTCAGCAAACAAACAAAAAAATTGCCTTTTTATAATATTAGTATAGATTTTATACTACTTTACATTAGATGATATAGATATTTCACAAAGTTTCGATAAATTTCACAACTAATAGGTTACGCTGTTGACGCATGATCATGTACCTACTTACATTTTCTAGTTCTACTTTCTTTTTCTCACTAGCTTGATGGTTTTCAAATCCAATATAGTATATAGAGTATACACTTAAGGAAAACGTGTATTATACTAAATTAAGTTTTCTTGAGTTTCCATCTACTTTTACTTAAGCTATTTGACTGAGCAACATGACTAAAGACTATTTATTCTTCAACTATACGAACTGATATGTGATAATTATACCTCGTTTAACCAAAAAATGTTGAAGTTATACTTCTTTTGGCACGGTTGGAAAAAATTATAAGAGTAAAATTTTTACGATGCGCGCACACACCGACAGCCAAAAAGCCACATGATGATATTCTATAAATATATGATTGTAATATGCCTTATTTAATTATTAATTTCATTTATCATTCCTTTTACAAACAGAGAGTTGTGACATACGGATGATGATTTTTAGCTATTTTTCTTCTGATACGCCAAAGAAGTATAACTTCTTACGTGCGTACATAAGTACACACACGCGTTTTTCATGTAGAAAGGACTTAAAAAATAAAAGCCAAAAATAATTAATAATATTCTTTATTTATTAACAACTTCTATATTGACTGTTATTATGTAGGTACTAATGTATACTCATGCTTAATAATATAAATAAATATAATTACTACTTATAATGCATCAGTGATCATGATATGGATTAATGGTGTAGCGAAATTGTGGGAATAACATATTTTGCTTTAATCTAAATAACATGTGTTGATCTTAAGGCTTCTATGAACCTTACGGTAATATTTATTGAAGTAAAACTTTTTTTTGGCGTGACTTAAGTATATATTGGAAAAATGAGTGTCGCGGAAGTGAGAGAGTTACGGAACCCTAATCCCACGAATATGCTGACATATCAAATAAATGTACGTTTCCCAGGCGACCATCGCCGAGTTCCCCGAATTAGCTTTGTAATGCCGCATTGTTTTAATTTAGTAATTTTATTAATTGTAATACTTTTCCAATCACTCTTTATTCATACTTCGAGTAAAGACGTCGTTAGTTTTAAGATATATAATTATTGTATTAATGTAAAATTAATAAATAATTATTCATTATTCGGATTTTTTCGACCTCCTGACTGCTGCAAACGTAATTAGAGTCAAATACATTATCAATAATTTAAAAAATAATATATTTATATTTTTATAATAATTAATTGATCCTCCTAGCCGATTCCGGCTACGGCGGCCAATCTCATTGAGACTAGCCAACTGCGCAGGAGATATTATAGTTCACAAGTGTACGCGCAGACACAACGTGCACTCTCTATTCCTGTCACTCTCATACTCCGGTGGGACGACTGCCCGACCCGGGACTCGAACCCAGGACCTCCGGGTGTGCAGCCGTATATGCTAGCCACTACACCACCGAGGCAGTCAATTAATTATTATTTATAAAAATATATATCTATTATTAATATTTTACAATAATTATTATATATAAAAACGAATTTATATTTTAATTTGTTTTAATTTAATTGCGGTAACTGCCACAGCGCCAAAGAAGTTTTACTTCAACCGCGCCTAAAAGTTACACGCACTCATTAAAAAAAACGCAAATTCTAAAAGCATTTCTATTTTTTTCCTATTTTAATTCCAACAATTGTATTTAGACCACATTTGCCCCAAAAAAAAAGTTATCCATCTTGATTTTGCAATTGCTTGAGCTGTTTTAGCACTGTATCCAGCAACTTTCTTCTGTCTCGCTCATTCTTTTTCAGAACGGAGAAGACAGACGACTTCTGTTCTGCCTCTTTCAGTTTTTCCAGTAAAGTGGCGGCATCGCGGGGTGTCACTAGTGCGTATTTACCTCCTTCTATACCCACATCGTGGAGATACGATGACCAGTCCCATCCAGTTATTAGATCTAGAAGTTGCCTGAAAACAATTTAGTATATATATATGAATAAGGCATAGCAAATACATAAATGTACATGAGCCACGATTACTTAAGGAATTTCAGGTTTCTAAGTTAAAATAATATACCTTTAGAAAAGAAAAGGTAAATGAAGTATTATTTATAGTTAGTAGTTTTTAGTAAAATTTGAAAAAATGGTTAATGGATTTGCTTTCTTCTTAACATATTTTTTTTATTTTATTTCAAAATAAAGTAGTAACATTTTTATAAGTCAAAGTCACTATCATACACACACATATCCCTTTTAAATATATCATACATAATATCCTCTTAAACCGCCCTTCTCTCATATCCATCCACTCTTATGCCCCCTTACCCTTTATTTTTGTTGGTAATTGCAAACGCATACCACCTGGATACATACACACTATATGGGACTCACCAGCTATAAAAGCCAGTACTACACAGAAAACCAAGCCAACAGCCACGACTAACCATAACAAACAATGTATTACAGCGCTTTACAGTGCTTCTGGAATCTACATACAATTCTTTAAAGCGCAACAACACCTATACAACTTGTTTAAAAACTAACCTTAAACTAGCAAAATGTTCCAGCAGCTCCCCCTCCTTCAACCCGGGCACAGGTTCTCCCGCTGCGAACTGCTCGCACTGTATCACGTCCAGGTCCAGCTGGTAGAGGGCTCCAGAGGAGATCTGGCGAACACCTGGGTCCAGCAGGAGATTGCGCAGCCGCGTCGCGATACGGTTGGTGGCTGCTCGTACTGCTGCTACGCTGTGAGAGCAAAAGATTGAGGAATTAAAACCAAATATATGCACTTTTGAAAATGTTTAGTGCATTCCGTAGTATTATTCATATGATTTCATTTTATATAAATGTTTTTTTTTAGAATAACTAACTTTTTCGCCATAGCTATTTTCCGAATGTGTTATTGTGTGTTACATATTCTGTTGTGTTATAACTACGACTTTCGGCGAATTCACCCACATATTATAAATATAAACCCCCATGACTGGAGTACAAACTTGCGTGCTCGTCACACAAATGAATGCCCCCAACGGGACTCGAGCCCGCGACCGCTGTCACAGCAAGTACAACACTACAAACTAAGCCAAACGTGTCGTCATATAATGTGGGTATAAAAATAAAATGCTTAAACTGAGTATTTAATATATACCGTGCTCTCTCAGGCAGCTGTTCTAGAGACGTCAACACTCCAGACAGATAGCTCAGCATGTCTGTGACGAAGGAGGAGGCTTGTCCGCTGGGCTCAACTGTGAAGTAAAGCAAGTTATATTATTATTGTAGTAAAATTTCTTTAGGTACGCTTGACTTGGGGAGTAAGCTGGTGAATGCGTGACGAGCGCGTTACGAAAAGTGTGATCAGGCGTTTATTGCCATGGTAACCATTTTTATTGTCTGACAAATATAATATATTATATATTCTTTATTTATTTAAATGATATTCTATAAATATATGATTGTAATATGCCTAATATGCGTTATTTAATTATTTTTATTAAAATTTATCATTTCTTTTACAAACTGAGAGTTGTGACATACGGGATGAAATCTTTAGCTTTTTTGTCCTGTTACGCCAAAGAAGTATAACTTCTTACGTGCGTACATAAGTACACACACACGCTTTTTAGTATCTCACCTGCCCTAATTACTTAAAACATAAATTGAATTTCATAAAGCGTACCGATAACCTACAGAAGTTTTACTTCTTGCGCGTGTACACATTCATACACGCACTATTTAATTATTTTTTTTACAATAGTTTCTGTTTGAACTATCTATTAGGATCATCTCCGAAATAGTTATTTACTGAATAAAATACGTTAAATTTTATTATATTAATATGTGCGAGCTACTAGAAATAAGATTTTTTCATTTTTTTTAAACTGCGCGTATAGCAGCCGCATATAGACTTATCGAATGTAACCGCATCGCAGTGCTAATAGATTTTTAAAAATATATTGAAACTACAAGTAAGACTACCCTTTAAGATTTTAGTATTATATATATTATTAATATTAATTAATCTACTCTGTAATTATTTTTTTTTTGTAAATTTAGTATTATATATATTATTAATATTAATTAATCTACTCTGTAATTTGTTTTTTTTTTGTAAATTGTGTGTAACTAAAACTGTTACGAGTAAGTTACTCTGTACGAATTAATAATTACAATAATGTATAAAACTTTACCAAGTAACCAATCATAATTTTCAAGGTCCAGAAACTCGTCTACTTTCTTCTCCAACTTTTCGCATATTTGCTGTTCAGCATCATCTCGGGCTGCTTGGAACATGCTGCCTGCTGTCTAACAATAAAAACCCCAACATTATACATTTATATGTATATATTTATATATGTATGTATGCGTATGTATATACATACTCGTGTATGTATAAAGGAATTACATTGTAGATATAGAAAATACATAAAAACATTAAGGTTTCGTCTGTTTGTCTTATAGTTTGTATTGTTTTGTATTCAGCCATTTTTTAACGTCCTTCTGCTGGGCACGGGCCTCTCTTCAGTACGAGGGGAATCAGGCCATAATCCACCACGCTGGCCAAGTGCGGATTGGCGGACTTCACACGTCTTTTGAAAACCTGCTAGTTTTTCGCAGACATGCAAGTTTCTTCACGATGTTTTTCTTTCACCGTAAGGCAAGTGGTAATCATGTTAGAAATGATTCGCACATGAAAATACCAGAGGTGCGAGACCCGGGATTTGAACCCACTTCACTCGGTTTCCCAAGCGAGCGCGTTACCACTGGGCTACTAGTGCCTCTATCTTATAGTTCATTTTAATATAATTTATATATGATATAATTTTCATTAAGCAAAAATAAAATTGACTTACTTGCGTGGTGACCAGTTCTGAACCAGTAATATTACTGATGAATTCATACAAGAAGGACGTTGCGTCTTCTAGATATTGCGTGTCTACGATGATCTGCAACAAAATAAAGAAAACTTTATATTATAGCTAATAGATGGCGATTTATTTACATTTAAAAATAGGGAAAGTAACATACTGAGTTTTATTTTTATGACTCAACGCTATCAGTTATTGTGTTTACCCGTAGATATAAAAGACTTCCATGCAATAAAAAGTATTCTAAGTGTTGGGGTCTATATTTTGTACACAAAACGTAGCAGTAATTTTATTTATAAACCTGTTGAAATAAAACAAATACAAAATGTTAAGTGAAAGAAATACATTAGTGAAAACCGCACCCAAATCGGTTAAGTTGTTTCTGAGTTTAGCGCGTACAAACGTGCCAAATAGACAGAAAATCTAAAAACATTGTTTTGGATTCTATTGCGTTAATAAATACCCCAAATAATAGTTTCTATCAAATATCTTCCATGTCACACACAGCGACCATTTACACTTTTATTATATGTATAAAACCAGCGATTCACCCTCGATTCGCTTCAGGTTCGTTCCTGAATCAAAACAAATCTATCCCACGGTACCGTACATCTTTCCGGGATGATATATAGCCTATAGCATTCCTCAATAAACGGGCTATGTAATGCAAAAACAATTTTTCAAATCTGAGGACAAAAAAAACAAACTTTGTCTCTTTATAATATTAGTATAAATATTATTATCCCTGCGCTCAGCGCTTAAATAATCACGATAATGAAATAAGTCCCCGCTGAGTTTCTTTCGCCAGTTCTTCTCAGGTCTGAGGCTTATTCTTTCCGAACTGGTAATAGACTCATGACGTTCAGTAAAATTAATTAAAAAAATTGCAATAATTTAATGCCGAATAAAATATTTTGAATTTAAACTTGAATTGTATTTATTAATTATATATTAGGGATATTAATATAATTGTATATTTTTGATTATGTAATTATAGCGAATGTTACGTACACTTGTAAAGACATACATATCTAATTAATTAATTAATTATTATTATTGTCTTCTAAATGTATATACATCTATACTAATATTATAAAGAGGTAAAGTTTGTGATGTTGTATAGGGTTATCTCTGGATCTACTGAACCGCTTTAGATGAAATTTGGTAAGAAGATAGTTTGAGGCCCTGGAAAGGACATAGGACACTATTTATCCCGGAAATCATCCCTTAAGGGGGTGAAAATGGGGATGAAAGTTTGTATTGGAAAGCAAGCTAGTGTGTTAATATGTATGTTGTTAGTGTGCTTTTCTAAACAAATAAATAAATTTGCTTGACGCTTGACGCCCGCGTACCTGCACGAGCTGCATGAGCGGCAGCGGGCGCCGGAACACGGCGGACAGGCAGCCGGTGAAGGAGCGGCTCAGCAGCAGCGAGGCGGAGTGGCGCGCCGCCGCCGCGCGCCGCCCGCCGCCCAGCCCCAGCCCCGCGGAGTACTTCAGCCACGCGTAGATGAACTCCTTCACTTGCACGTACACAGACGGCACTACCGTTGAGAACGGGAACCTGGGACGTGCGAGTCGATTTATTGAAGTGAAACTAACAAATATTATAATTAAATCGACAAATATTGTAAGGTACTTTGGTTCCATTTTTCTATTTTTTGAATTCTTTTTGTTCATTTTTGGGTAGGCTGTCTTTAACGACTTTATAGTGCCTTTGAGACATCTAACACCTTTAGTCTCTCCCGTGCCCGTGATTGCTGTAAAGCATTTGAAACGTCGGGAACCAAAAATCAAAATAAATTCGCGACAATAAAAAGAGACAAACACTATAATTAAGCCGGCGAGAGAATGAGATAGAATACATTACAATGTTGCCATGGTAACCGTTGTTGTTGCCTAACAACTATATAATATTATATTCTTTTCATATATGATATTCTATAAATATATGATTATAATATGCCTTATTTAATTATTGATTTGTTTTAATTTAATTGCGATATCTGCTTACGAAATTTTACTTCAACCGCGCGTAAAGGTTACACGCACCTATTTTTTTTACCAATTATTACAGTACCAAACGACAACCCAAGTACTCACTTTCTAGGAAAAGGTTGAGTCTCCAGTTCTTCTCCTTCATAAGGAAATGTGTCCATGACACCATCATACTGCTCTTGATTTTCTACCTATATTAAGAAAGGCAAAAAGATAAAGATAATTAAAATACTTATACTTAATTATTAAAAGACATGTCTAATTTAGAGGTGCTTAAATCTAGTAAATCCAACAGTTTTACGTATTAACAGCACAGTATACAATTAAATAGTAAATCCGTGCAGTAGACGACCTTTGATTTTCACGTAAATGCTGTCAAATGTTAGAGTTCATAAAAAAAATGATAGCAAACGGTTTCGCTTTTAAAGCACTGTAGTAGCTCGTGGCCAGTTACATTTCTACCCATCAACCCTAAAGACAAGTCTCCCAACGGCAGGGCTGCCAGTACAGTCAACTTATTTTACACCATTGGGTCATTGAAATTATACAAAATCAAGTCTTATTATACAAATCAATAACTGTTGAGATATAGTGTGTGATAATAATTTAAAATGGATAACGAAAAAAGTCATTACACAGTATGTTACTTTACACACACCCGCAAAAAACGTTAAACGATATTACATCGCAATAGAGCATTGATATATGGTTTTAAAATAAATTATTTTTACATTTTTTAAATAAAATTTCATAAATTATTATATTATTAGATTAAAAAAAAAGTTATTTTTTTCTTACAAAGTTTACTTCACATTTGAATTTTTATTGTTGTATCCAATTATACGATCTGGCAGCCCAGCCCAACGGTCATACAAAAGCATGCATGACAAGTCGGTTGCGCCTCACTCGCGTCTCATCTTACACGCCCCGCTCGATATCTTGGTCTAGGCTCTAGACGCCTTCGTTAGGTGACTGCATGTATAACAGACTGCTTATAGACGAAAACTTTTTAAAAGTCGAATAAATCAAGCAGTGGTAGCAAAGTTCGTAACGCGATCGCCTGGGAAGCCGAGTGAAGCGGGTTCAAATCCAAGACCTCGCACCTCTGATATTTCCATGTGCGAATCATTTCCAACATGATTACCACTTGTCTTACGGTGAAGGAAAACTTCGTGAGGAAACCTGCATGTCTGAAAGAACTTAGCAAGTTTTCGAAAGATATGTAACCAACCCACATTTGGCCAGTGTAGTGGTCAGTGGACCACGGCCTGAAACCCTTCATATTGAAGGGAGGCCCAAGTTTTGTAGTGGGAAATTAAAAAGGGCTGAATGAAAGAAATCAAGCAATTACCTTAAGAATAATTAAAAAAAAATATAATTATATGAATTTAGAAAAATTTATAAGAAGAACCTTACCTCAATAGGCGCGAAAGTAGCATTATCCAATATATCTCGGAACACAACCACCCATCTTTGCATCAACACTTCTGTGTAATGTTCCGCCATCTCTTGCAGTAGCAATGGTAGAGGATCAGTAGGAAGTCCGTAGCATCTGCAAATTTAACATACTCTAAATAAAACAATACCAGAACTCAAAGATGTTTTTTTTTTCTACATTTTCTATTGTTCTATTCTGCTTTAAGTGAAAATAATTAAAGAGTTGAAACGTCTAAGGAGTTGTAAATTAAAGCGGAATTTTTATTTTTATAGCTATTGCCCTCAGCCCCGCTCGCGTGATACGAAAATATGGCATTTTCGAGTTATCGAAACAGTGTATGTGTGTATTTTTCGTTGAGCTCTTTCCTAGATAGCTGTTGCTAAAACATCGGCAAACAAAATTTGAATGAAAACACAGATCCGAGGCGAATCTATATATAGGCTTTTTTGGGAGCAGCCCTAAGATATAACGACCCCCTGTTAAAAACAATGAATAATATTATGAAAATAAAAAATGTATCTAAAATACAAAAATTAAGGCTCAAAAGGTTCCCCCCCAACGTGCGTTCACCTTGTCGTGGTGGGGGGGCTCAGTAGTGCCCGGCAACCCAACCGGGCGCGAAGCCAAGAAACGCACAGGGAGGTTGCCCACTTCGGTGGGCGGTGGGAGGTGGCCCTCTTCGGAGGGCGGTGTACCTTGCGGGTTGCTCCTGGTACTTCTCTGATAGCAGAGTGGACCTTGGAGCAACCCCGTGGTTGTTGTGGTCTGTGGCAGACCTGCCGTCGGGGCGTCGTATTTGAATGCGTAAGCTATCCTGCGACGCTCCATTATGACGGGGGAAGGTTTTGTTGGGCTTTAATGGGTAGTACTGGTTTCGCCGGTGAGTCCCACACTTCGTGCGTAAATGCATTTCCCAACGTTAAAAAAAAAAGGCTCAAAAGGTTGGCTTAATAACCCTGAGACCAATTAACTAGAACCAAACAACGTTAGCGTTAGCTTATCGTTAAGCGTTATCTTAATTTTGTCTAATACCGTCTATTATTATAGATTTTTTAAAGACAAAATGACAATTAGTTTAATTTTAATAAAGTAAAAAGATAAATAAAATTGAAATTTATGATTGTAATATCATATAAAATAAGAAATTTTTACTAAATGCATATGAAATTATATATGATACTTTACAAAAAAAAATATTTTTATCTGTCTGTCTGTTTGTTTCGGCTAATCTCCGAAACGGCTGAATTGATTATGACGGGACTTTCACGAGCAGATAGCTGATGTTATAAGTTACGCAAACAAGCGAAGCGAGGGTAAGTCGCTAGTGTATATATATATACTTACTTCAATGCATTTATAAACAGCATAATCTGATGTTTGATGCTCAACATGAGAGTTGGATCGGTTATCAGTGACGTGTTTGTTCTAAGCGTCGAAGCGACCTTAGCCACTGACATACTCCAGGTATCTAGCAGCCAATCCTTGGAGACCAGACCAGCTCCTGTGGTCAAGAGGTGTTCCTCAAGGATGAAGAAGCCCAGCACAGCATTGAGGTAACTCTTCATATTTTGTATTGAGTCATGGAGGTTTCCGGATGAGGGTATGAGAACGAGTCGAGCTTGCTGCTTTCGTTGAGCTCTGTAATGAAAGTATTTTTTAGATAATAATACATTGGGTCTAGTCGCTAATATGTAGAGTAGTTAGATTATGAATCCTGGGTTCGAGTCCCGGACTGAACTAAAAGCAAAAGTAGCAGATTGGTTTAACGCACTTGCTTAAAAGGTCATTTGAAGTGGAACTAATTCATGTCTCATGATTATCTGATAGTACTATGAAAGAAAACATAAAGAGAAAACCTGCATGCTAAAAGAAACTACTCAATTCTCAAAAGACTTCACTTGTATAATAATAACATTGCGGGACTTAAACACGTGTATTCGTAAATCAAAAATCATGGAACGCAAAAATTTAAAAAGTTATATGTATTTCACTTCACTTCTCCACACTTCAAAAGTGTAAGACTTATTTTATAGTAACACAATTCTGTAGCATACAAACAGCATAACAAAATATATATACATAAGTATATTACTTTCTTTACCGTCTTTATTTATAAGAAGAAAAAAACTGTTTTGAAAATAAAAGAATCATTCACCTGTAATATTGCACAAAATCGTTCTTAGCACCAAGAACACTGTGTATGTGCAAACACCTATGGAGAGGACTGAAGTCTACTAGTTCATGAGGACATTGCGGTCCACTGTTTTCTTTAGTAACACCCAATGATTCTAAAACAATTACAATATTTTTAAAAACTAAAATGAAATTCGGTCAAGTGTGAGTCGGACTCACACACGAAAGTTCCATACCATCGTATAAAATATAACACTATGTACTATTTGATTTTTTTTATTTGCATGGTGGTCATTTTGAAATTAGCTATCTTGGTTTTTTTATTATTTATCATTATTGCGGTAATAGTAATTACGATTTATGAGATACAGCCCCCTAACAGACAGACGGACGGACAGCAAAGGCTTAGTAATACGATCCTGTTGGAACCTTTCAGGTACGGAACAGTAAAAAGCACACTTTAAGTATCATATGGCGATAAATCTATGTTGACAGTCGTCAAAACGAAACAAATGAGCCCAAACTCTAAACTCCTGGATATACCATTATATCAGGTTGTGGTAACTAGTTTGTGAAATGTTTTTACATATCTACAAAATTTGAAATTGATACGATATTTTAAAATATTGTCTAAATTCAAGTTCTAAGTTTTGATTACAGTCAGTGACAAGTGTTGAAAATTGAAATAGATATAACATTTGCAAAGTTTAAAATAGCTTATTTTTAAAACTGTAATAAGATATAATTTAGAATATACATTTGCTGAATACATTTATTTTAAAATAAAATTGTTACTGAATTTTATTAAAAAAAAGCAATGTATCTACGTAAATTTCACCTTTTTTATTCTTTACAATATTCTCCAAGCTTCTCCCAAGCATTTCTTGGGTTTGCTTCAAAGCCATTGCGCCAACCTATAAAAAAATAAATATAAACTAAATTATTATACTACTAGCGAGTCACCCTCGCTTCGCTCGGGTTTGTCCCTAAGTGATTCTTTAAATTGACTTTTTAATTTATGAATCGATTGAAATAAAACAAATACTAAATGTTAAGTGAAGCGTACTACAATACATTAGTGTAGAAGTAAGCCGCACCATTGTTTTGGATTCTATTGCGTTAATAAAGACCCCCAATAATAGTTTTTCTCAAATATTTTCTATGTACAGGCAGCGATCAGTTACACTTTCCATTATATGTATAGATGGAATAGATATAGATATATAGTCCATTCAATTCTAACCATTAAATAAATTTACCTGAGGACTTAATTTCCTTATATTTTCGAGGAAATCTCTCAAGTCCGCCATGGATGCATCTTGTATCGCCTGTCGTAACCGCGGAATATCGGCGGATATTTTCGCACACCATTTGTAAGGTCCTACCCGAGGTAATAGAACATGTTCCAATTGCTCCAGGGTTTTGAGTGCTGGGTAATATCTGTGAGATTATCAAAATTGTTACATATTAAATTAATTATTAATTGAGAGTCCACCCTAATGAACTAGCCCGAGGGCTACTCCCCAGTAATGAAGCCTCGAAGCGATTAAAAAGGGCGCGGATCTTGGAGCAACACCAAAGATTCACTTCCAGCTAAACTATAAACTTAAAGCGAATGGACTACCCTCTGCAGTCGATGTACATATATATCTTATATGGCATATATGGCTGCATTCAAATCAAAAGTTGTTTTCTCATTGGAGTGCACACTCACTAAATATGACATTCCAGGTCATCCGCTTATAATATTATTACTGATCGTGGATAATACCCATAACAAAAAAAATATGATTGAGATTAATTATATATGAATACAAAGTGGTATAAAAGTTCCAAAAATTAGTAAATTCAATTAAGCAATATTACAATTTACAAAATTACTTTCAATATGTTTTTTAAATAATAAAAGGTAGTGGTGGCCCAGTGATAAAGCGCTCGCTTGGGAAACCGAGTGAAGTGGGTTTAAATCTCAGGTCTTGAAACTCTTGGAATTTTCATGTACGAATCCTTTTTAACATAATTACCACTTGTCTTATGGTGAATAAAAACATCGTGAGGAAACCTGCATGTCTGAGAGAATCTAGCAAGTTTTTGTAAGACATGTGAAGTCCACTAACCGGCACTTGGGCAGTGTAGTGGACCATAGCTTGTTCCCCACACATTAAAAGGAGGCCAGAACCAAGCAGTGGGACGTTAAAAAGGGCTGAATACAATACATATATATGTTCTTCTTTCAATATGCATTTTGACATTATTTTTTACTTTAATGTTAAAATAAAACAATCCAACTCAAACTTTGGTAATAAAATTTGAAATAAAATAGCCTAATGTCACCAATTAATTAGATTAAAACAAATAATTCTTCCATTTATATCACAATAGTAAATTATTATACCTCTTAGCTTCCACTTGAGTTTTGAGCTTTGAATAAGTAGTTAACAATGGTAGGCATAACTCCATTTTTTCTATAGTTGCTGCAATATTTAACTCCACTCTACGGGCTCTAATCAACTCTTCTGCCCTTGTGCAAAGATCTTAAATAAAGATAGATCAAATATATTGTTCCATATTGTGCAACATAATTTGTAGATGTCATATAAAATAATAGAGAGAGTATGCATTTGTACAAAATATAGGGTATAAATACTTTCATGTAAATGTGTAATGTGAATTATATTTAATTTTATATATTATACTAGCAGACCCGACCACACATTGCTGGGGCACATTTATAACTTCATAAATTAATGTTAATAATTAATTTCTTATTTTCTCTCTCGCGAATCCCTCTCCAGATATTTTTTTTTTGTAAAAAAACAAGAAATAACCAGGGTAAAAACCATCCTATTTTTTTAAGTTAGAACAAATCACATGTTTTAAAAAAAATACATTCAGATCGATAAGTACCAACATTGTGACATGGAAATTTTATTTATCTCCATAATGAGATAATTGATATGTTATTTATTGGATAGAACTTTTTTAATCTTTAAATTAAACAATGTATTATATTTATAAAAAATATAAAGTGTTCCTTATCAAAATAATATAAACATACTTTCTGTAGACTCCTTCACATTAGCATCGACATTAGATATTTCTCCATGCAGCTCCTCAGCATGTGAGCGGACTTGAAGCAATTCTCTAATGGAGTCAATAAAGCCCTACAACAAGTATTGATACAGTTATAGTGTAACTGCATTAGAAAAGTAGAACAATTAATATATGACATGCCCAGGTTAAGTAAAATTTAATGTAAAAATTAAGATATATATAATATATACATAATTGAATATGTTATTTGCCACCAATAAAGATTTGAACATTACCTGATAGTAAAAATTGCACAGCTTTTCAATTTCTTTGTCATGTTGCTGAATTCTATCATCTAACTGTTGTACAAAAGCCTCATGACCTTCACCTTCATACACTGATCTAAATGCAGGACCCCAGTAATCATCTATGCCTTCTATTTCCTAAAACAATGTAATTCAATTTTGTATATTTAACTGTATCCCTGTAATTTGCTTCCTTTATCAACTACCTAATAGTATTGTATAAATTTATTATTATAAAGTTATTGAATTTTAAAGTTTCCATGTAGATAATGAATACATATCATAATATATTGAATACTATTACTGCTGGCATTCTAAAAATCTGTAAATATAAAGTTAAATTGCCACAGGGATTTTAAAATATATATTGTTTTAAAGCTCATAATATGGTTATCCATATGTTTATATTAGTTTATTGCTCGAATATAAAGGGGCGTAAATAAAATAATATACCTGTATCGTTGCGTTAGTCATAGTATAAACTATAAACACTGACAAAACTTCTAAAAGTTAGTGGTAGTAAACACAAAAAATAACAATTTTACACATTTATGTCTGGAGTTAGTTATTTACACTTCTATTAAACCCTAACTAAAAAATTATTTATGTAGTGAATATTTTGTGTTTAGGTAAAAATCAACCTGCAATTAATAATATAATTTATTATTTTCCATTTTCACGATTGACATTTACAAGTACAAATTGACAATTGACACTTGACAGATCTAATTTTGTTGGCAAACAGTGATTTCGTTTTGAAATTAATGATTTGAGTTTATTTTAATTTTTTCTGAGAAGAAGAAAGGATAATATGTAATGTACAGAATGAAATTACAAATAACAAATAAAAAGACTTGTCATTAAATGTATTTTTTTCTTTTTATGCTCTGCTAATAAGTAATAGTGTTGCATGATACATAAAATATTTTTACCCATTGTTAATTTTAAATATTATTTCTATTTTTTACTAAATAAATAAAATCCATTACAATCTATATTTATCCTTAATTAATCATAAATAAAGAATTTAAAAATATTATACTAAAGTATGTATGTTATATTATAAGTAATAACTGCCTAGTGCCCAACTGATTAAGTGGCTAGAGGGCCATCCATTAATTACGTTACATGAATTTAATGATTTTTTGCAATTTCACACCCAGAACTAAATAAGATAAAAATGGCAGTTCCAAAACGCCAAATACGTCAAACCGTAAAATAGCGTGGTACAGCGAGCCGACCGCCCACCCACCTCTCTCCCCTAAAGGTGTTACATAATTAATTTATAGATGGCCCCAAGACACTACTGTAGTTCCTTTTTAATGAGGTTGGGAAATGCCTTTACGCATACCATCTGCATACATACAGGTAATTATGTCGGACTCACTAAGTAAAAAAGCCAGTACCACCCACTAAAATCCAATCAAACCATAATCAAAGTCTTAATGGGGCGTCGCGTCGCAGGATCACTTAAACATTTAATACGATGCCCCGAAGACAGACCTGTTCAGGTAGACCACAGCATCCATGGAATTGTTACCACGGTCTACTCTCTGTCAGAGAAGTACCTGTAGCAACCCCGCATGGTACACCTCCACCAAGGTGGACCGTCTTCCACTGTTTTTCTAGGCTTTGCGACTGACTGAATTACCGGACGCTAATGAGTCTCCCAACACGACAAGGCGGACACACATCGGGGGGATGGATATACATTCTAGATTCGGATACCGAATCGATTTAAAATAGCTAATGCGATTTCTGATAAAATATACTCAGTAGCAACTCAAAGTTATGAAATTGATGACATCGTGCCCTCGCGTTTCTCGCCTGATCTCCGACATAATTAGGGTAAAAAGAATAGATAGTGTCACTCGAGTTTGCACAAACAATTGTGCACTATAATTTATATGAATGTAATTCCGGTAAATTGGCCTGGAAGAATTATATTACACATAATATCCAGTAAAGGAATTTCCATTACCCTTAAAAACCACTAAATATGTTTTTTGAAGAAAAACTTACTTTTATAAATAAAAGTAAGGAAATATGATTTTAAATATTTTCTTTATCCTACTAAGTTCGAAAGCTTAGTTTATTATTAGAATATATTAGTTTTATAAATAAATGTTTACCAACATTTTTAGTAAAGCGCACGAGCTTGACAACATCATGAAACATGTGCCAAAGCTGTAAGTGCCAAATCAATCTGCCAAATTATTCCGCAGAGGCGGTTGAAGCGAGTGCGTTTTATTTTATATATAAAGAATATTAAATTGCGTTTTATAATTGGTCGCAATTATTTAAACAAATCCATGTGACGTACATTTGCATAAATAATACTTTTGATTAATACATTAATATTGATATACAGAGGTCCCGCAACCATGGCTCACTGTATTAGAGTTTTGCATGGCCAAGTAAGTAAAAGATTTTTTTGTTTTTACACGTAAATGTTCATTAAATAGTTACAGAAATAATCTAAACACCAATATGTACTATAATCTATGTTTATTTACGATATTATCAATATTACATATTAAAGATAGTGTACATGAATGAATAGGTCACTAAAGGTAAAATAAACAATTTGAGGTCAGTAAGGGTTAGATGTGTCTATAACCACTAACCAGATCGTATTTACTATAGTCCTTTTAAATATAAATATGTACAAAAATTAAATTACGAGGGCATTGACCGACATGAATATGTTTTAGGGTAGCAGGACGAGGACAGCACTCGTGGAAATTCAAAAAAGATGCTTCAGCGTGTCTCCCCTCACTGCCGCTGCGGCTCAGGTACTAGGAAATCTAGAAAAAAGTGAAATTTCAAGTGATTAAAGTGATTTTGTAACACTGTTATGTAACCAAAGTGAACCCGTAAAGTTACTTTGTGTCTTGTATTTTTCAATTTTAATGTTTCAATGATGGCTTTTAGGTGGCTATGTCGAAGTTCGACAAGGTTCCCTTGCCCTACGAAAAACTGACAAAAAATTTAGAGATTGTAAAGAAGAGGTTAGGTCGTGACTTGACCTTGTCAGAGAAAGTGCTTTATTCTCATCTGGATGACCCAAAAGGACAGGTAAGTGATGAAAAAGTGAAAATTTAAACTGTTTTATATCAATTTTTTCAAAAAGAAAATTGAAGAAATTAGATACTTACATTATAAAAGTATATAAAACAACAATATTTTTATAAGTGTAAAATAATAATGAAGAAAGTAATTAACATAAAAGTCTGATATAAATTATGTAAGACAAATGTCTTGTAATATTTTTCTTAAAAAATAATTTACGCTTGTGAATTTAGTAAATATTCTTTTTTCTATGAACATGTCTTATCAATTCTAATCAATTTAGCAACTTGTTATCATATGTTAACATATTAAATAAATTTAACATTCCAATCTTATAGTAGTGTACATCAATTTTATTACTTATCATTAAATTTTTAAACTACTTAAGAAAATCTCAAAATAAATATGATTAACCTTAACTGTAATACTGGTAAGTTGGCCTGGAAGACTTTTATTACACATAATATCCAGAAAAGGAAAGGAAGTTTTGTATTTTATGATAAATGTTGTAACAAATATATACTTCTACTGTCAGTAATTGTAATTTTTTAAGAACAAACATAAGAAAATGTATTGAAAAGTGATATTTCATTATACAATAATACTAAAAATGTTTTAGAAGGGTAGTTCAATATCTATATTTACTAAAGCAGATGAAAGAAAAATTACTAGCACTTATATTTTAATTCTATTTTAAAACAGGAAATTGAACGTGGCACCAGTTACCTTCGTCTCCGACCAGACCGTGTTGCCATGCAGGATGCCACAGCTCAGATGGCCATGTTGCAATTCATTTCCTCTGGATTACCAAGAGTGGCTGTTCCATCTACTATTCATTGTGACCACTTGATTGAAGCACAAACTGGTGGTAAAGAGGATTTGGCTAGAGCTAAGGTATTATAGGAAATTTCATTATAATTGAAACAAATAAAAGAATGGATAAATGCCGTTTTTGATTGTTTTATATAACTAACTTAAATGACTTATTTTGAACATATTTTAATATTAATTTCTTCATTTTGTAAAACTACATTAGGATATCAATAAAGAAGTATACAAATTTCTTGAAACTGCTGGAGCTAAATATGGTGTCGGTTTCTGGAAGCCCGGCTCTGGTATCATCCATCAGATCATTCTCGAAAACTATGCCTTCCCTGGTCTCCTTATGATTGGTACTGACTCCCACACACCCAATGGTGGTGGTCTAGGAGGTCTTTGCATTGGTAAGCTTTTTTGTTTTAATGTCATATCATTATACAAATATATTCATTTTTGAGTTTGAATCAATAGATAATCTATTCTATACTAATATATAGGCAGAGTTTGTTTGAGTACACTTTAATCTCAGGAACTACAATTTGAAACACTCTTTTTGCATTAGATAGCCCGTTTATTGAGGAAGGCTATAGGCTATATAACATCATGCTACTAAACAAGGGAGCGGAGCAGTAATATAATATATAGTCTTATCTAATCCATACTAACCGTTAAAATGATACCTAGGAACAAACCCAAGCAAAGCGAGGGTGAGCCTCTAGTAGAATTATATATTACATACTGTATGTATATTGCCTAGATATATGAAACAGCTGGTATTGTAAAGCAATAAGCTTAATAAATAACTAATATAAAATAATCTAAATATTAAATAATAAACTTTTATATGGAAACATTTAATTAATTTACTATGTATATGTGTATAAAAGAGGTTGTTTTTTTATAACTATAAAATCCTTGTATTAATTATTAAATTGTGTTGATATATTTACTAAATTATTAAATTCAATGCCTATATGAAAAAATGGCCAAAAAAATTAACAACACACTGTGCTATTTAAAAATATACAATAGATTTTTAGCTTATGTTTTATGATATTAATAATTTTTTTTTATTCACTAGGTGTCGGTGGTGCAGATGCTGTTGACGTAATGGCTGACATTCCATGGGAACTGAAATGCCCGAAAGTTATTGGTGTTAAACTTACAGGTATATTTTTATTAATTTATCTATACAGATAAATAATATTGAAGTGTCTGTTTGTAATGTCAAAATAACAGCTTTTTACTAAATACATATGAAATTATTTATGGTACTTATAAGAAAAACACTACTTTGAAAATTTTTGTCTGTCTGGCTGTATGTCTGTTTGTTCCGGCTAATCACCGAAACGGCAGGACTAATTTTGACGGGACTTTTACTGGCAGATAGCTAATGTTATAAAGAGTAAGTTGGCTACTTTTATTTTAGAAAAAGAATTGGGTTCTGCTCAAATAATTTAAAATGTGCCTAGGCACGCACCCGATCGAAGCGGGGGTAAGTCACTAGTTTATATGTATATGAATGTAGAAGAAGATATATTGAAATTAATTCTATGCTCGAAATAGTATATGAGAAAAAAATAAGTAAAGAAAACATGAAATGTTGTTTTGGTTATGCAACATAATTAATTAATATCAATCTATACTAATATTATAGAGGTAAAGTTTGTGTGTGAGGCTGTAGTGGTTTATCTCTGGATCTACTGAACTGATTTGGATGAAATTTGGTAAAAAGATAGTTTGAGACTGGGAAGGACATAGGATACTTTTTATCTCGGAAATTATCCTTTAAGGGGGGAAAATGGAGATGAAAGTTAATATGGGGAATCAACTATGTAATTTCAAACAATACAAAATAATTTATATAAGTATCAGAATAATTTCATAAGAATATTGGTTTTTCTAAAGTGATAATGGGATTTTATTACAAATCTTATTAATTTTACGATAAATATAATTTTGTTATGATAAATAATATACTTAAACTACAGGAGGCGACATATAATAAAATTGTAACCGAGTCGGAACTGTACATTAAATATTTTTTTTAGTCTTATTGAAATATCGTTTAAAACGTGATAAAATGCAGCAATTTTATCGTTAAAGTTTTTTATTTTTATCGTTATTTGAAAAGGATCTTATCGCTGTTAAATTGTTAAATGTCAAAATCTCTTGAAAAAACTTTCATCGATTTACGTAACAATAAGGTATTTTCCTCACTAGCACTATTTTAATTTCATAAGACGGTTGATATAGTGACCATATCTAAGTAACTTTTTATAAAGACTAGTATCCCATGGGATCCAACAAATTAAAGTAGCGGGATAAAAAATAAGGCACTTTTTATTATAATACATTTAGTAATTCCCTCTTTCTTGTTTGTCTTTATATTCATATCTTTGCAAAAGATAATCCATTGTTTTGTTTGCGGCGTATAAAAGCCAAGAGTAAATATATTTTCGTACATATTATATTAGTATGGACGAAAATAAATTATTTTTAAAAAGCCCTTTATTTGTATGTATGTATTCAGCCCTTTTTAACGTCCCACTGCTGGGCACGGGCCTCCCTTCAATACGAGGGGGATTAGGCCATAGTCACATGTCTATCGAAGACTTGCTAGGTTCTCTCAGACATGCAGGTTTCCTCACGATGTGTTTCTTCGCCGTAAGACAATCATGATGGAAATGATTCTCACATGAAAATATCAGATAAGGTGGAGGTGCGAGACCCGCGATTTGAACTCGCTTCACTCGGTTTAGCAAGCGAGCGCGCTACCACTGGGCTACCACTGCCTGTATTTATTTACATATAAATTATAATATAATCTGTTGTTGCTGGAAACGTCGTAAAAATATACGAAAATATTTATGATGTGAATCGAAAGAACACAACAGAAAAAATATAGTAGTTTAATTTAAAATCTTTTATTTTTACCTCCTTGTTTATTATTTAAACTAAAACATTATTTGTTCAATTGCACTGCGCTTTGTTTTTACTATTGCTATATTACGTATATTTTTTTATGTATTATACATTCGTAAAGTATTTAAGGCACTGTTATATTTATATAAAAAAAGTGATTTTGTAAGTCGGTGTTCTGTAAATTTACAATATATTTGATGTTCGATGCATTTTAAACCTTATGTCCTTTGTTTAAAGCTTAAAATACAATATCAGGCATTAATTGCGCTCTTGCATAAACTTTTTATAAATAGAAATACATTTTTGCGTGGCCGATTGCCAAAGTCAGAATGTCATTGATTCTACGAGAAGAATTGTGAATAATTTTAGGTATCTTAAAATGTACTATAGAGGAAAGTACGTATTATAGTATGAATTATTATTGGCTCCATTATTTATAATAATCCATACTAATATTATAAATGCGAAAATAACTATCTGTCTGTCTATCTGTTATCTGTTCACGCTAATTCGCTAAACCGATTTAGATGAAATTTGGTATGGAGATAGTTTCAGACCCTGAGAAGGACGTAGGATAGTTTCTTAGATAGTTCTATCCCGGAAATCATCTTTTAAGGGGGTGAAAATGGGTGTGGAAGTATGTACCGGGAATCAATAATTTCTTAAGTAAGGGATATGAAACTCATCATACCTACATACATACATATATATAGTCTGCTAATTCCATACTAACAATAAACGTCAAGAATGTATGACAAAACTATTTATGGCGAAAATTAGACACTGAATATTTCTTTGTTTTATTGATGGTCTAGGATATATTATGGTGAATACAAAAACACCAAATAATGTTCTTCCCACCAATGCACGTACTACTAGACAACATCTCTGTTCTGTCAATACGTTTTAAGAAGGTTTTCTCGCAATGGAACCTTTAATCTCGCTTGTTTTGTCAAATAAGTTAAAAACTAACAGCATTAAAAGTTTATTTTACTTATTGATTATTGGGTAATTCAAATATTTGTATGGACCATATTAAATTTTAAATATTATTTTAGTATCCTATAAAACTGACGGGGAGGGAATCTTAAGATCTCTTATTTTCTATATAGTATACTAGCAGAACCCGCGGCTTCGCTCGCGCTAAAACTACAACGAAATATCTAAAAAGGTAGTTTCACACAAACTTTCATCCCCTATTTTACCCTCTTATAGAATGAATTTCGAAAAATGCTAAAACACGTATTTATTTAATTTTCTGGAAGAGCATAAATGCCAAGTTTCAAGTAATTCTGATCATAAATATTTTTTTGGAAAAGCCTATATCACTCTCCAGCTCTCCAACTATCTCCACACAAAAAAAAAATCACGTGAATCAGTCTCTCCGTTTCGATGTGAAAGAAGGACAAACAAACAAACATACTTTCACATTTATAATATTATAGTATATTATTACCGAGTCTCTTTGACTTGACAAAATTCTTTGTAATTGTAACACGTGTAACGTCAACATACCTAATGCCTATTTGTCTTTGTTCAAAACATATAAGATGCTATTAATAAGTACTTTACCTTTAAAATTAATTGATACCGTCTCAGAAACTTCAAATAAAGCCCCCTTGAACAAAGGCTTTGGAAACTTAGAAACGAGAAGTTTATACGTATAAAATTGAATAAAGAAAAGGAAAAAAAGGATTTTATCTATACATATAATAAAATTCTAACTGAGACTATAAACTCAATTTTTTTTTTGAATTTTAGAATTTTAGTCTGTCACAAATTTGGATGAAATTTAGTATGATGATAGCTAGTTATCCGGGTCAACGTGTAGGATACTTATGACTGCGGGAAAATATCTCATCTCTTAGAAATCTATACTAAACGGTAAAAAGTAATAAGTTTATACTAATATAATTAGTATGCATTAAAATAACGCGATGGATTCTGTTGTAATAAATATTATTAACCAACACGTGTATATTAGTAGTGTCTGTACGTGATAATCTTTAGAGATCATGGGTGATGAGTTTTGTACTCATTAAGAAGCTGTTATGTGATATCTATTATCTTTACCACAATCGTGAATGTGTCATAATTAGAATATGCACAACTAGCGGCTCACCCTTGCTTCGCTCAGGTTCGCCTCTAGACAAACAAAAACAAATCTATCCCACGGACACCGAAATTTTTTCCGGGATAAAAGTAGCCTTTTTGTTATTCTGATGTATGCAATATATTATTGTAGTTTCAATAAAATCCAATCAGTAATTTTTGTTTACTAAGCTGTATTAGTTACTATTTTGTTGATGAGTTGATGCGGTCCCAGACAGACATACAAAAATTCTAAAAACTAAATTCGGCCTCTGTATCGATAGTAATGACTATTTCAATGAGATTTTCAAAAAAATATTTGATGTTCAAATTCCACTCAGAATTTTATTATATGTATAGATATCGAAAGCCAAGTGAAGCGGGTTAAAATCCGGGTCTCGCGCCTATGATATTTCCGAATCATAACAGTTTTAACTGTGATACGGTGAAGCGAAACATCATGAAGAAATAAGCATATCTAAGAGAATCTTAACTCGTTTTCGAAATTCATTTCATTATAGGAAAAGATTCTTCTAATCTATCTATAAAGGAAGTAGTCTCTGGAACTACTGAACCGATTTAGATGTTTGCTATGAAGATAGTTTGAGATCTTAGGAAGGGATTTTATCCCAAAAATTATCCCTTAAGCGGGTGAAAATGGGGGATGAGAGTTTGTATGAGGAATCAATAATTTTAATTTCTCAAGTGACAGTTATGAAACTACAATATATAATATACTGTCTATCTATTCCATATTAACCGATAAAACGTACCTAGAGATGAACACGAGTGAAGCGAGGGTGAGTCGCTAGTCAATACTAATATTAGGTATAAAGAGGTAGGTAAAGTTTGTGGATTTGTGAGTGAATTTGTAAATTGTGAGTTTGTGACGTTGTGGGGGATAGTCTCTGGATATAATGAACCGATTTAAATGAAATTTGGTAAGAAGATAGTTTGAGACCCTGGCAAGGACATAGGATTTTATCCCGGAAATCATCCCATAAGGAGGTGAAAATGGGGATGAAAGTTTGTATTGGGAAGCAAGCTAGGGACGAACCCGAGCGAAGCGAGAGTAAATCGCTAGGATAATATATAATAGTGTTAGATAAAATAAAAAAAACCCATGAAAGATAATAATATAAAGTGTTTACGTTCCCCACGTTTCGAATGCTTTACAGCAATCATGGTCACAGGAGAGACTTATATACGATACTTATTGATATTTTAGTATACACAAAGAAAACAAATAAATATATATATAAATTAAAGACCTAACATATACTTTAAATTATTGTAATGTTTTGTTATTTAAAGTCCGTTACTGCATCAACTAGTATAAAGCGATTTCAATAGTTTTAAATTGAAATTAATTGATAGACATTTACATCACATCTCCTAATAAATCTAGTCAAATCGGTGCAATGCTTTCTAAACCTCGAGAAATATTTGAAATGAAAAGAAATTATGTACATTTGTACCTCTTCGCAATAAGATATTCAGTTAGGTAATTTATGTAGATTAAGGCCGTTTGTAGTGTCGAGTGATGTGATACGCGCTATCAAGTAGCGTTTAAATGAACTAAATTATGGCTTACCACACACGTAAACACATATTGAAATAGTTAATAAATATCTACGAGTACCTACTGTCTTAAATAACAGTAGAAATAAAAACAATAATTAAAAATCAAATAAGTATTTATATGTACTTATTTTAAATATCCGCCTCCGTGGCCACCTCATTTGGCCCTGAGTTTTAATAAACCCTTACATCCTTACATATTTTTTATTACATTCTTTAAATATTATATAGATAATATATAATACTAGCATTGCCCGGGGCCTCGCCCGCGCCACCAACCAACCAAATTCTTGGATTTTACATATTAGTGTACTCTTACATTGCAGTTTTTATATTTTTTCTCAGAAATGACGCATTTTCCCGCGGTATCCTATATGTTGCCCCGGATAACCAGCTATCACCATACCAAATTTCATCAAAATCCCTCCAGTGGTTTTTCTGTGATGCGGTAACAGACAGACAGACAGACAAAATTCTAAAAACTATAGATTCGGCCTCTGTGTCGATAATAATGTTTATTTCGATAAGAATTTCTAAAATAATATTTAATGTACAGATTCGGCTTAGTTACAATTTTATTATATGTATAGATTATTTTGTCTAAAACTAAAAAAAGAGGATACTCTAAAATTTGTGTATTTCTCGTGACTTAAGAGGATCGAAAACCTATATTTTTGTAAATCTATTTTTATTAGAGTCTAAAAGTCAAGTTTTATAATACTAATAAATATTTTTTATAACTATAACAAACCAAATAACCATACATGGGCGAATCTAATAATTTTATCGGTTTCACAAGCGACCGCGTTACTACTAAGCTACCGCTGCCTTACGAGGTACTTAGTGTTATGATAACTGTAATATTTATATTTTTTATACTTCTAGGTCAACTCAAGGGCTGGACAAGTCCCAAGGATGTAATCCTCAAAGTCGCCGGCATTCTCACGGTGAAGGGCGGTACTGGCGCCATCGTTGAATATCACGGACCTGGTGTAGACTCCATCTCTTGTACCGGAATGGCAACAATTTGCAACATGGGTGCTGAAATTGGTGCTACTACCAGTGTATGTCCATTTCTAGACCCAATATTATTGAGCATCTTAAAACTGAATTATCTATATATTTTCATATAATAGAATATCTCTCTGTCTCTATCTGTAACTTTAGTTCTAATTCAATTCTCTTGTTAATGGATTTAAAGTGTATAGAAAAACAGTTGAGCACAGATTACTTTGCCGATGTTACGTAGAATTTAATTTTTGTATTAGGTATTTTGCTTCCTTGCAGACTTACAATACTGATTTTTAATTTCTATGAAAAAAAAGTGCAAATTGACGATTCAAAAGTGGTTATAAAAGGTTTTGATAGAAGTAAAATAAAACATATAATACTAATATTTGCGTCTATCAGGTGTTCCCCTTCAACTCCCGTATGGCGGCGTACCTGAAGTCCACCGGACGCCATGACATCGCCGTAGCCGCTGACTCCTACAAGAACTTGCTCACGCCCGACCCGAAGGCGCCTTATGACCAGGTAAGATTGTACTATAGATTTGTTTCTAACTTGTATTGCAGTTTTAGAATATAAGGAAAGGAAAGATTCCAACGTTTTCATAGGCCTTAATATATGTTTAGGTTTCTCGTTTATAAATAAATACATTAAATAAATAAAAAACAAATGAATAAAAAAAGTGTGACGTCTTTTGTCTTTATTGGCGGAAAAAATATTTATGAAAATAAATAAAATATAATAATTGGTGAAGAGTGTATGGAATTCAAAAAAGTAAATAGCCAGATGATCTCTCGTCGATTGACCAAGTCTCATAAATGTACAGGCCAGTATGACATATCGGTATCAGAAGACAAAACGGAAAGAATTGTTAATAAGCATGAACTGTAACAGACGGCCTTACACATTTTTAATATTAATCATAAAATAAAAGTTCCCCGCAAAATCATCACCTATTCTCCACTATATTTTTCATTGCAGCTTGTCGAAATCGACCTTTCAACCCTGGAACCTCATGTCAACGGTCCGTTCACCCCTGATCTAGCCAACCCCATCTCCAAGTTAGGGGAAGCAGCGAAGAAAAACGACTGGCCCGTAGACATCCGGGTGGGACTCATCGGCTCCTGTACAAACTCCTCGTACGAGGATATGGGTCGCTGTGCTAGCATTGTTAAGGAGGTATGGGATAAACATAAATAATAATGTTATTGTATGTATGTTAAAAGTATTAAAATTACATTTGTTTTAGAATAGTTTTGCTTGATACTGTTTGAGTTATCAAACGATAATTTTTTTTTGTTTTGCAAGTTGTTTTTGTCTTTCTTTTACGTCGAAACAGGGTAACGAATTGGCGTGATTTTGTGTGTTTTGTGGAGATAGTTGAAGCGCTTGAGAGTGACATATGTATGTATAGGCTATTTTACATTTACCGCGGGAGATTCGGAGATTCCCACTATAGAAAACACGTTATAATACAACCCCCAGAAACTCATCACACCTATTATATAAAATATATAGTCCATACTAAATCTACAGCTACAAAAACAATATGAATTATTAACGTATGATGCTACAGAAAAAAATATTTATGATATATCGTAATGGGCTTCTTCAATTATCTAAACTGTGCAACTCTGTAGATATATATTATGTTCATATTAATTAAGCTTTTGTTTTTTCTTTTTTTTAATGCACTTATTGTAAATGCAAAATGAAACAAGCAATATTTTTATTTTTATAGTTTTTACATATCTCTTTGTCATAATAATAACTTTTACTGGCATTGTTAACCGAGCAACAATATTTTATTTGTTAATCAAATTGTGGTACTCACGATACAGGCTTTGCCTAGTGTGAGTTACCCTCAGGTATGAAATATATTGTAAACTAAACTTTTTGGACAATAAAGATTATTATTATTATTTCTATCTTTCCCAGGCACTCAGCCACGGTATAAAGTCCAAGATCCCGTTCAACGTGACGCCCGGCTCGGAGCAGGTGCGCGCCACCATCGAGCGCGACGGTATCGCACAAACACTACGCGATTTCGGTGGCACTGTGAGTTTGTTTATAGTCAATATTAACTAAGTAATTGGCTTGTTTTTATTGATTATTAGGTTCTTTAGATGCTCTCCACATTTTCAATGTAACTTGGTAAGATCTGAGGATATTTTTTTCTGACGTAATTCGGAAATGACGTCATACGTAGCTTTTCTACGGCTAAATATAATAAATACATCGTATCAAATATTATACAGGTGCTAGCCAACGCATGTGGACCATGCATCGGCCAATGGGACCGTAAGGACGTGAAGAAGGGTGAGAAGAACACCATAGTGACGTCATACAACAGGAACTTCACCGGCCGCAACGACGCCAACCCCGCCACCCACTGCTTCGTCACCAGCCCTGAACTTGTCACCGCACTGTCTCTTGTTGGTATGTATTTAGTGCAAGACTTCAAACTGGAAGTCTTATTTTGAAGAGTGTATACCATCGATCAAAAATTTACTAGATACACATTACACAATCAGCGACAAAAAATGTCCTCACTGAATGAGCGCTCATTTGAACATTTGAGCGCGCTTTTATTTTTTTGTGAAAACAACTTTAAGCATTGCATTTAAGGTTCAATTTACTTTGTTGTACCTATATTTATTTCAACTAGAATAATTAATTAAAACACAATTGGTGACAGTTTTTAGAGAACTTTCAATAAATAACTCAGAAATTAATTTAAATTTCGGCCGTTCAGGTCGTGTGACGTCACGAAATTATTCTTACGAGCGCTTCTTACGTAACTTTAAAAATTCCATAACTTTTTCATTCCTTGAGATATTTTGATAATTCTTTAAACATATATTTTACTTAATTTTTTATAATGAATACATAAAAAAATTGGAAATACCTCAATTATACATATATAACTCTTAAAGAAGGAAGAAATCTCATAAAGAGATAAGTTATTTGTCGACATTCTGTTACTTTATTTTGTATAAAATATATTTTATGGTACATAAATAAATAAAAAATAACACATATAGTATAAAGCAACAATTTGACCCGCAGGCCGCCTGGACTTCAACCCGGTGACGGACGAGCTGACCGGCGCCGACGGCAAGAAGTTCAGGCTGTCCGACCCCTTCGCGGACGAGCTGCCCGCCAAGGGCTTCGACCCCGGACAGGACACCTACGAGCATCCGCCCGCTGATGGCACTAGTGAGTTCCTTCCTTATAACTATCATACATACATTTTATATTCATTATTTATTTATATTTTATTTTATATACAGGGCATTCCAAGCCAAAATATTTTTTTTAATTTGAAAAAGAATGTAATTATGGAAGGCCTACTACCGGACCGGGCTAAAAGTTGCATGATGGATAGAAGTTTAAAAAGAAAATTTAAAAAAAAAGGATAGGTACACACAGTTTTAAAAACACGATAGAAAAATTAAAAAAACTATTAAAAACATTTCAAATTTTTTTTGTAAAGGTCATCCAAAAACAAATATTTTGAAGAAAAAATAATAATTTCGATAATTATTAAGAAAGTTATGAGCAAAAAACCAAAAAAATACCAAAATATTAAGAAAATTAAAAATATTTTTTTTTTGAAACCGTCCGATTCGGCGTGGAATGCCTCATACATTTCGTATTATATTCATGCACACACACGCACGCACACACGTACGTGCACACATACACATACAATCAATCTTCGTTTCAAATTTCAAGCAAAATCGTTAAGATATTATGACATCAAAAATAACTAACATAATTTTTCATATTTATAGTACGAGTATTAGTGTATTCTTATAGCTAGTTCTGTTTCTATGGCTTAAATGCAAAAGTAATTCTTTTCGATAGCTGGCAAGTTTTAATTCTGAGTTTTTGTTATTAAATTGGGATATGGGATGGGTGTATTGTTACAATACTGATGTAACTTGATGGATTTTGGAGAAGAATTAATGCCCGCTGGATAATGTTTAGAAACTTAAAAAGTTGAATAATATGCAACAAATAACACTTTATTTCATAACTTGGCTTGTCATAAATATGTTGGGAATTAAGACACAACACCATCTAGCTCCGTGATAAGCTACGAGGCCTGTGTTATGGATACCAGATAGTTGACACACTACAAATATATGAAATTTGAAATGAAATGAAATTTATTTAGTAACAATTCTTATATGTATAAAGTAAAACAGTGGCTACGGTGATACTGCAAAAGTATAACCTGCGTTGCAGATATCAACGCCCGCCTCCGTACAATATTTAAACTATTTTATAAAAACTAAAAAACAATAAGATGATGATGATGTATGTATGTGTTTGTGTGTTTGTTTGTAAATTCATAATTCATATATAAATCTAAATACATGTATATTATAAATATAAACACCCATGACTGGAGTTACAAACATTCGTGCTTAACACACAAATGAATTCCAGCGGGACTCGAGCCCGCGACCGCTGGCCCAGTAAATAGGGTACTGCTACTCTCAAATAACTCATATTGTTACATATTAACACCTCCAGGTAAATTTATAAGAAATTAATTACAATTCTAAGAAATCTATTTTTAACTGACACGCCGGCGTGTCCGCGGTCGTGGAGGGATTAAGTATCCCGTATAAACTCTCATAAACTTTTTTCAGAAGTGCAAGTGGACGTATCTCCCACCTCCGACCGCCTCCAACTCCTGGAACCCTTCGACAAGTGGGACGGCAAGGACTTGAGTGACATGACCATCCTCATCAAGGTGAAGGGCAAGTGCACCACCGACCATATCTCCGCAGCCGGGCCTTGGTTGAAGTATAGAGGGCATTTGGATAACATCTCCAATAATATGTTCATTACGTAAGTGTTTTATTTTTAAATTACGGGATTGATGTAGGTTATTTTGTTTTATATTACCAATCTTATTTAGCGATTTCTTTAGGTTTTTTTTATAAAGAAGGTTTTGTCGACAATACATATGTTGAAAACTTAAAAGGAATGCGAAAGTTTGTATGTGTGTGTTTATGTTTGTTACTCCTTCAGATGATCTAGAAATTGTTTGTAGGTAGACTATGATCTGGGGTAACCTAAGTTACTTGTTAGTCACCTAAGAATGCACCTACGTTGTACACCATTAAATACCTAATACAAATTACTAGCAGAACCTGCGGCATCGGGCGCGTTCAAGAAAAAACTCTTGCTTTATGTTATGTATAGCTACTTACTCTCGCTTCGCTCGTGTTCGTCCCTATGTATATCTTTATGTAAAATACTAAAATCGCGTTTAAAAAATGAGGGGTGGGGGTAGGAGGGTGAAAAATAATTTACGACCTATTCTCATACCTACCAAATACACAAAAAAAATATTCATTAAAATCGTTCGAGTCGTTTCGGAGAAACGACCAGCAACACCGTGACGCGAGATATTTATATAATATTAGATTAACGCCAAAATAACCATTTGCGTTGAATTAATTAAATATTTATAATAATTAAAACCCTCTAACCAACAGAGCAACAAACGCGGAAAACAACGAGCTGAACAAAGTGCGCAACCAGTCGACGGGCGAGTGGGGACCCGTGCCCGCCACCGCGCGCGCGTACAAGGCGGCCGGCGTGCGCTGGTGCGTGGTGGGCGACGAGAACTACGGTGAGGGCTCCAGCCGCGAGCACGCCGCGCTCGAGCCCAGGCATTTGGGTGGAAGGGCCATCATTGTCAAGAGTTTTGCTAGGTACGTATATTGTACTTATAGACCTAGAACAGCAGTCTTCAATTTTTTTTTGGTCAAGTTACCTGATGTTAATAATATCATATTTAACGCAATGGAATTATAATGTAAGTCTATCAATAAATGACTGAGAAATTAATTTAAATTTCGACTGTTCAGGTCGTGTGAACTTTAAAATTTCATATCGTTTTGATTTGTTTGAGATATTTTAATAATTCTTTCATATTTTTGTTATCTTTTACTTAAAATTTTATAATTAATACAAAAAAAATATATGGGAAACTTCTCCATTGATCATAATTTTTTTAACGAATCTCTATTTTGATAATAACTAAATTGGTTATGTTGTATTTAAAATACTTTCTTGTTTGACTTGAAAGAACAAATCAGAAATGAAAAATATTAATATTTATAATAATATTTGTTGTATACCTAAAATATAAGCTATGTGATAAATGAAAATTCACAACTATACTTCTATACTAATACTATAAATGTGAAAGTTTGTGAGTATGGATGTATGTTTGTTACTCTTTCACGCCAGAACGGTAAACGGATCTGGATGAAAATTGGCACAGAGTTAGATTATAGTCTGGAATAACATAATACACATAGGCTACTTTTTATCTCGGAAAAATGTACGGTTCCCTTGGGAAAGGTTTATTTTTGTATTCTTTATTCTCGCTATTTCTAGCTATAAATAAAAAAAATACTTATTAACATTATTTCTTTAGAATTCACGAGACCAATCTGAAGAAGCAAGGTCTCTTGCCTATGACATTTGCAAACCCCGCCGACTACGACAAGATCAAACCCGACGACAAAATCTCCCTATTGGGTCTCAAGGACTTAGCACCTGGAAAGGTAAAATCTCAATTATATTTAAATATATTATAACACTTATGTTTTAGGTTACAGTTTGGTGCTAATTGAAAATATAGATGTGAGTGAAGCTAAAAAAAATAAAGCTATTATTGTTCTATTGCTAATAAAAATCGAAAATATCGATTTAAATATTATGTAAACAAGTAAATAGAGTATGATATTCAAGTTTAAAATTATTTGTTTTGAATATTAAATGTTTCATTAACATTATTGATTGCACAAAGGCAAATTTTCTAAGGGTATAATTCTTTCTAATGGATAAAAATCAAATATTTTATTTCTTTTTCAGCAAGTGGAGTGTGAGATCAAACACAAAGACGGTAAAACTGAACGCATTAAGTTGAACCACTCACTGAATGAACAACAAATCTCCTGGTTCAAGGCTGGCTCCGCCCTCAACAGAATGAAGGAAATCGCCCTCGGAAAGTAAATTAAGCACATAATGTAGAACAATTACAAGAGTTTAAAAATGCCATAGAAAATTTCTTTCTTTTATATGATATTGTATCTTTTTAAATGCCATAGAGAACCTTTTTCTTATTTATCATTATTATGGCGGCAGCTTAACAGTATTGTTAACGAGCCTTTCGAATTCCAGGCTGTTATCCCGTTAGTTAATAGTTAAAATTATAAAGCATTTTGAATCAGACAATATGTAGTCGCGGCGGTGATGAATCTTTACTTAGTGTAGTTTTACAACACTTAGATGGTTAGAGAATAAGTTTGAACTTCATTTTCTATGTACTGTAAATCAATAATTAAGTAAAATGTTTTATTTTATTATTTATGTACATAATATATACCAATCTTAATAAAAAGTTACGTACGTAAAATTTTCTTTTATTTTTTTAATTTTATTCTGATGTTTAAATGTATGTAAAAATGGAATTCGCAGTATACGAAAAAATTCGCCTTTTTGGGTTTTTTTTACTAGCTACTGGATTAAAAATAAGTTTTTACTTACCAAGCCTTAGTAAAAAATTATGGTAAGGGTGTCATGTCGGCTGGTGGGGAAACGGCCTTAGTGGGTTATTCCTGATGAACACAAATAAGAAAAATACGTTTGTTTTATTTTCCGATTCTAATTATCAAGAGAGCTTTTAACCTCTTCATATCCTGAAGTATTACTTTTATCAATAAAATAATATATCATTGATACCACGATTAGCAATGGTCAGCAATTTTGAGCACGCTGGCTTTCGAAGCAGATTCAAGTCCAAGATTTACATAAGTGGATCTCATATTCAATAATTTTTACTTGTGAGAAATCCTAAGGACGTTTAAAGTACGGCTATCCGCATTGGACCAGACGACCAAGACTGGCATAATCCTCTTTACATTGAGGAGAGGCACATGCCCAGCTGTGGGACTTTAAAAGGGCCTTTTTATTTGTTTATTTAACATAACACAATCTCTTAGGAATTCTTGAAATAAATTGCATACGCTTTGAAAATTTGATGTGAATTTTTGGTCCAATAGGGAATGCTATTCAGATGGATACCTCGTGCAAATGCAGTATTTCAACATTCATTGATCATTTTACATACATGTCTTTTTTAAACGACTTCCAAAACGCAGGCGGTTCTTAATTCGTCGGAATCTTTTTTTTTACATTTTATAATAAAGCGAGCCACATATAACATTAATTTTAAATGGACTTTTCATATAAAAAAAAAGTTGTTAAAGGCTTTTTAATTAAAATTATACCATTAAAATTGACATAAATTAATTTACCCATTTTAAAGTTCATAGAAATGCCTCGGATTCCATGTGATGGTGCAGCTGACACGCCGAGCGTGTTCACGACACTGCAAGTTGAAATGTATGGACACGTTTAACGTGTCCACTGGCACTGACAAAAATCGGTTATTTTTACCCGACTACGCGACACAAAGGAGGGTAATGTGTTTATCAGCCTATATATGTATGGAAGTATACACATACGAGTATGTACATCTCGCAGCAAGGATGAATGAAACGTGCATGTCTCAGACTGCATAATACTATATTCCTTCTTGATCTTGTTTTTATCTTTTTAATTAACTTTTATGCAGTCGGGTTTTTTATTTTTATAATATATTTATTTAGTCGTATTCATTTTGTTTTTTTTCTAATGGTGCTTTTTAAGCTTCCGTGTGCTCTGTAAGAACTAAGGTGTTTAAAAGTAGAGTAAATACACTATTCTTAACTTCAAAGTTTAACTTCAGTTCTCTCTTCTAGTCTTAAGCATTAATTCTAGGTTTTAACTTGGAATTATGGCAAAAAGCAGATTTTAAAGTAATTCATGGGTATATATTAAAAAAGTAAACATTTTAGGACCATTAATTGGTTGAAAGCAAAAGAGAGAAAAAATTTCTTTAACATGTTTTCTTTTTGTACAAGAAAACATGCTATATTTTAGTACAACAATTTTTATTGGATGTTAGCTAATTGCAAAAGCATACTTATGAAAGTAGATATTAAATTAAAAAATAAAGTGTAGTGTAAAACTATTTTATTATAGCAACAGATTAATCTTCATTGTCCTCATTGTCGCTGTCGGCATTGATGTTGAAGTAGCGAAGCTCATAAGAGTCATGAGCTGAAGCCACCACTCGGAGCCAGTCACGCAGGTTGTTCTTCTTGAGGTATCTCTTTGTCAAGTACTTCAGGTACCTCTTGGAGAAGGGAATGTCTGGAAATAACCATTTAATTGAATTTAACATACATAATATGAAGATTCCTGATTGCATTTTTATTTAAATACATTTTTAAAAAGAGTCACAAGTTGGGAGTTAATTGGATGCTTTCACACAAGGGATTTAATGGTTATGCAGATTATTGCTTTCCTATGTAGTAAATTAACTAATTGGACATAATATTACAGAATTGTTAATGAATACATATTATATCTTATTTTATTGTTAGTTCATTTATTAGCATTCATAGTTTTATAAATACTAAAGAATTATCATTTCATTAATATAATTGACAGGTGTTTTTATTATAAAACTTAAGACTAAAAATAAGTAACTTGTGTTGAATAGTATATTCTTATTATTTAGTTAAGTTAAACAGAAATACTCATTGGACAAAGTTGAACTCTTTATTAGGCCATCCGCCACATTATTGACTGATTTAATTTCAAATTCAACAGCCTCTTTCAACATGAAAAATATATAAACATAACCCTCAAGTTCCACTTTCAATTTTCTTAAGGCTAATAAAATATTTGAATTTCATTACAAATTTTTAACAACTCTATCACATTGAAATTTTACATTTGGCTAAGTATCTGTCCTGATGTGAAAATACAAGATATTTCAACACTGGTTTTATACTAGGTTCCTCATATATTTAAATTATTGTAAACGTAAACAGCATACCTGCGCTGATGGTAATCTTAGTCTTGTCTCTCGCGATGACAACGTGATTGCCTAGGTTATTTGTTTTTCCCTCAACTTTGACACGTTCTTTTAAGTATTTTTCGAAGTTTCCGACTTCCAGAATACTATCTTCAGCGGGATGTGTGCAGTCAATTGCAAACTTAAGACTGATTTTCCTTCTTTGGCCTTTGCCGCGAATTTTGCCACCCTTGACTCCCTTTTTACCAGTCTTTTGATGTAACTGGCCTTTCTTGGCTACGGGTTTCTTTGTTACTGCCATTTTGGCAACCTGAAATATTTTTAATCAGTTAATTTACACTGTAATTCAGTTATCACGAAAATCAACTATGATCACATAAATTTTCTCAATAACCTACAGAACACGTGTTATAGTCGCCGAAAAACCTGCAAAATGGCCGACTTCGACAGTCTTCACAAATGACCACAGATCAAAGAGACTACAGAAGTGACAGTGTCTTCAATGTTTTTATTTTTTAGCTGGCAGCTTTAAATATGTTGATTTAACAACGGCGGTAACTAACGGTTGAACTTGGTTCCACCTTTTATCTCGGGAATAACGTCAAATACTACAGTTAAACAACACATATTTTTGCAATCGTAGAAAGGAATAATTTTTTTGTACTCCTAATATATAAATATATAATTTTTATTTATTTGAATAGATGTCGTTGATCCGAAAACGGATCGCATTATATTTTTTAACTTTCTTTCAATTTTGACTATCTATAGATAAATAATTTAATTCAATTTTCTTGTTACTGGCTTCAAAGCGTTAGATAAATAATAAATTTAGACTATTCCTTTTATTTGATTTAATTTTACCGAACGCATTGATGAATGCCCCTAAATATGTGTAAGCTCAAATATACTTGATATTGCACAAAAAGTCGTTTTTAATTAAATAAAATATATTAGTGACTTCAACAACCTAAAGTGAAAGCGACCTCTGTCAATTTGCACTACAAAGTCATTAACTGAACGCTGATTTTTATATCAGTTAAATTTTATAGGTAACTTTGATTTACACGTACATATTTTTTTCCATAATTAAAGATTTTTAAAGGTCTATTTTCCAAGTTCTGTCAATTTCGCAGTATCACCAATAACATATAATTTTTATTTATTGACATTTATATGAATTAATTTTTCTTTGTTCCTGTTGAGACCTAATAGGGTCTTGGACTGTAGTAATAAAATGATGTGATGTTTTGTATAGCGGTAGTTTATGGGGCTAGAATTCATTATTAAAAGGAATAATTAAATAAAAATCATGATTTTTCTTTATTTTTAAAATAAATAATGTTTATTTTTAACATCAAAATCACGTGACTACAAACGCCAATTACGGTGCGTGACGTCACTTACCATTGTCACTAGTGTCAAGTATAGTACTATATGATCTGTGCTAGTTTGTTGTATAAACAGTGTAGTTTCCAAAATTCAATTCTCTGTAATCTCGAAGTTTTAATCGTTTAAGTAACATAATATTTAAATTAACTTACGTTCCTGGTCAATACCATGGCGAACAAATTTATTCGAGCTGGCAACTCAAATCATGTATCGATGTCATGATGGTGGCGGAATTTTTCGCTAAAAACCCTGATTTTATTTTTTATTTTATCTATCTAAGTACTAGGTATTACACAAATTAAAAGGTGTAAAAATCTGATTAGTCTTAAAATAATCCAAGGAACCTAAATAATCTCTATGCATAACATCATAACAAAATACAGACTAAAAACATACCTACAGCAGTAACCAGTGTCGCGTCCGGCAATGTGTAAGTATAGTTCAATAAATATTTTATACTCTAATCCATACTTACTTCAAAATTATCTTTACAGACGTAAATCATTGATTTTGTGGATTGGTTTTTCCAGTCTCGCCTTGTGTCTTATTGGTATTATTTTCACATAAGGGCACTGAACAATACTGATAATACTTAATTGCACTCATTTTCAATATTCTTGTTCCCTTTTCAATTAATAATTAATCGATCGAGCCCACAGATTACGAAATATAATCGAGCTCTTTATAGTCTACACACGCTCTGTATGATAAGTAACGTCACACTGAACGATTGTTAAAAGAGTGGCGTTTTAGCGCCAAATTCAAAAGTTCGATTTTTTAACATAAGAATACAGTAATTTCAGCGGGAAAATATTTTTAGCAGCATTTTATTTATGTAAACAATAGGCTGAGATACTTTACATAAAATAGTCCAAGACCCTATTGTATAATTTCCATTGTTTTGTTTATTTATTTTATAACAGAATTTGTCAATTTACACCCGCTTCGCTCTTTAGTATGTTCTTATATGCATAGCAGTAGTCTATTTTTTATACTAAGCTTCATCTATATCCGTTCAGTCGTTTCGGCGTGAAGATGATAAGCTTGAAAAAAGAAATTACTGTAATTTTGGCAGAACCCAATTATTGGCTCATAAAAGAGATTTTAACACTTAATAATAAAATGAATACCGATGGAATCCGGTGTGAGTAACAAGGTCTATTCCGAGCGGACTAATTGGGATCAATACACACACACTACAAGGAGATTTGATAGAAACCGGATGAAAACCGATAAATAGCTTAAAGATTTATGTGCTGGCTATAAGCATTGCCGTGTAACCGCTGTAATTTTGGTTTTATGTAAAGACTACGCGCTTACTTTTGTTTAAAAATTTATTTGAAATATTTTTAACCGTTATTTGTTGAACATATTTGAAATTACGTTTATATTTAAAAAATGCATTTGGATTTTATTCAATGGCTCTAACGATCTTAATTCAAAAAAATAATTGAATAAAGATTTCAGTCTATGTGAGTGAACTAACAGCGTGTCTCTTTGAATTATAACAAATTTTAAAAGCTTAGCTTACCACATAGTAATCATTAACCATTAATGTGAGCTAAAAAGGTACTTTGATCAAAATGTTTATTAAACTTTAAGATATCATCGGTCGAAGTTAATTTTGGGACTTGCAATCCTGTTTAGTGTCTGCACTCTGCAGTCTGTTACTTGTTATGCAGACTTATTGTGTTTACAATACGAATTGGAACAGTTTATTCATTATTGAATTGTTTATTGAATTGATATACTATTTCTGGAACTTAATGTTTTCTATAAATTTCTATAATTATGATTTTGTTTTTTTTATCTCTTAGGCCATTGGGCCTGAGTACTAAGTAATTATCTATGCAATCTAAATATAAAATTCACAGACCAGGAACAAATAAAATTGACATATCTAATAACTAATTACACAAGAAACGTCTTTACTTCAACTCTGAACTGAACAAAAACTACTGAATGGATTTTCATTCAGTTTTCACTTTTCACTAATAGATAGATAGACTATGGAGTGATTCATGACGAAGGTTTAGGTTTATAATTCATTAAGGTCTTGTCGGGAAAGATCATGTCGATTGAGAGTTTTAGTGGCGTGCGCCTCATAAACTAATAAAGTTATGTATGAAAACAATGTATTACAGGATTATTATTCCTATTAAAAAGATCTTCCTATTAAACTGAACTACTGAAATGCTACGTGGACACACTCGAGCGAAGTAAGGGTTAGTCACTGAATATTTATTTCTTCTACGTATTTTATTTCTGATTAATTTATATAAATTAATCAGAATTTCCTCTATTGAAATCATGAGCAAAAAGTATATTTTATCTATATACAACATTAGAGGCAGAGTTTGCTTGTTTGTTTGAACCCACTAATCTCAGGACTACTAATCCGATTTGAAAAATTGTTTTTGTATTAGATAGCCTGTTTATTGAGGAAAGCTATAGCTATATATCATATAATATATATGTAGTCTATCTATTCATATACCTACTCATATATTTTGAAGTATTGGTTTAATTGCGACTTCCTACTAATAATGCAATTTTTTCTTATAAAGTAGGTACCTATATTCCAATTATGCTCTATTGTTCTACAAAGCGACTCTAAAGATAAGGATAAATATAAGATAAGGATAAATATAAGTATAGGGATTGTTTCTTGACTCATTCACTTCACATCACTTTTATTGTCATGAATTACGTTATATCATCATAATACGCGATTATGATAATATGTATTTCTAGATTTAAATATATTATATTTATATTTCCAGTAATGCATTTTAGTATATCTTAAATAAGTACTTCTCGATAATAAATCGTATAAACTTAAACATTTCAATGTCTTAATCCGAATGTACTACTTTATCCTTGTACAATATTTTTGACTGATCCCAGATAGGATAGGCCAGAATGCTGATGAAAACTCCTATGTCTTAAAAAAATAATATTAAATCATATAAAATGGTTCTTTCGTTCATTTCGGGCACATTTAGCTAGTATATTATACAACATCCTCATTTCTATTTTCTATTACATTCTACGCAAACAGGTATTTATTTACTCATCTATAATTATAATTTCTATAAAATACCTCAAACTTGAAACGTAAATTTATTTATTTGACTTAATATATTTTTTTAATAGTGTATTTTTTATGAAATTAGGATGTGGGAGCCTAGTTATGATAACAAGTTTTTAGTTTTTATAAGATTATTTAGTTATATGCACATATAATATGCCTCGAATTCTTGGCTAATCCTGAGTGCCAACTTTTAAACTATGATCTTCTTTGGTAATAAATTATTTGAGTTTTAATTTTCTTGTTAGTTATTGATATAGATGGTTTGATTTAGATACATAATATAATGTAAAGTTTGGTGAAAGTAACGTAACTAACCTTTTTTTTTACGTTGGGAAATGCATTTACGCACGAAGTGTGGGACTCACCGGCGAAGCCAGTACTACCCACTAAAAACCAACAAAACCTTCCCCCGTCTTAATGGAGCGTCGCAGGATCGCTTACGCATTCAAGTACGACGCCCCGACGGCAGGTCTACCGAAGCAGACCACAACAACCACGGGGTTGCTCCAAGGTCCACTCTGCTATCAGAGAAGTACCAGGAGCAACCGCATGGTACATCGCCCTCCGAAGAGGGCCGCCTCCCACTGCCCACCGAAGCGGGCCACCTCCCTGTGCGTTTCTTGGCTTCGCGCCCGGCTGTATTGCCGGGCACTACTGAGCCCCCCCCCCACCACGACAAGGTGAACGCACGTTGGGGGGGAACGTAACTAACCATTTTTTTTAACGTTGGGAAATGCATTTACGCACGACGTGTGGGACTCACCGGCGTAATACAGCCAGTACTACCCACTAAAACCCAACAAAACCTTCCCCCGTCTTAATGGGGCGTCGCAGGATCGCTTACGCATTCAACTACGACGCCCCGACGGCAGGTCTGCCAAAGCAGACCACCACAACCATGGGGTTGCTCCAAGGTCCACTCTGCTATCAGAGAAGTACCAGGAGCAACCCGCAAGGTACACCGCCCACCGAAGTGGGCAACCTCCCTGTGCGTTTCTTAGCTTCGCTACTACTACTGAGCCCCCCCACCACGACAAGGTGAACGCACGTTGGGGGGGAAACGCAACTAACCTAAAGTAATGTGATGTTTTATGTTTTGTCGCCATCATGATGCCTACTCGTAAGGAAAATATTAGTCACGATTCTATTATAAAGTCATCTCACATCAAGTAGCGAAGTCTAATCAGTAACATACGAGTTAGCATGTAACTATACGATCAAAACGACCATTGTTTTCGCCCTTCCCTGATATTTCTCATGAACTAATTGCTTAAGCCTTTAATTTTTCACCTGGCGTGATGTCATGTAGACGTTTTTTCGTACACGTTATTTATTTGTTCGCCTCACAGACCAGTTTTAACCTGTATTTAATTTTGTTTATAGCATAATATTATGTGTTTAATGTTGTAACACAAGTGCTCATTTTCTTAAGGAAAACTGCGCATGCGCAGAAGCGTTATCTTCATGACGTGAACTTGTGATTGTGAATCAAGCGACTGTTGCACCTAAACATAGTTTATTTGCGTTTTGTATATTCGTGAGTGAAGTAAACTTTAAAGCGATCCTGTGAAGTTAGCCTCACAATTTTTGTATAAAATTAAGGTGATTCATTGAATAACGTTGTGTTTGTTGTCTAAAATAAAACCAAATGGCTAGTGTCATGTGTGCTAATGAGTTAGAAATAAAATTAAAGACGTAAGAATTACGTCTTGTCAAAATCGATAAGATGAAAAAAATGATGTTGCCTTAGATATAACAATGGATAAATGTTTAGTCCCCTGTAGGTGTGCAGAAAGAATTACAAAATCAGATTTAAATCGGTATACGGATAAAATAGAAAATGTTCTTAATGACGAGAAAGGACGGAGACATTTTAGGAAATTCATGTTTTCCTGTAAAATGAATCACGGTCGCCGTGTATTAGATTTTTGGGAACATATCGAAAAGTTACTCAATCACAGTGAATATTCAGAGGGTTATTTGCAAAATTACGACTGTTTGTCTGAAGAAGCTAAGGAAATAGGAGTATTAGATCTTGCTACCGAGGCGAGAATAAAAACCGCGCGAGACTCTGAGAACAAAGAAGAAATGGAAGAATGTCTTAAAATTTTAAAAGTAGAAGCAACAAAAGCACTTGGAAACGAGTATGACAAATACAGACATCGATTTATTTCATCCAGTAGTAATTGATGCACTTTGTTTGAAAAGTACACTGTGCCTTGTTTTTGTGAAGTTTGTATTTCGCGCCACTTATTGCACAATTTTTCGATATATGAATCAGTGAATGAATGAAAATGTCAGCTGATGGACTTTATAGAAAACGTTCATTTTTGTACCAAAACATTGCAAATATGAATTTAAGGAATAAATTATTTTTTATGTTTTACAAATGTTTTAATTTCCATACTACAAGTAAAAAAACTCATCAAAAATTGAATTGTCATTTAAGGATAATTGCACATTAATTGTACATTCTAATAATTTATTATTATACAGAATAAAATTTTATTGCAATATACAATAATTGATATATATAATGGATTGTACTTATTATTAAATTAAAACATGACCATACATCTTTATATTCAGCCATTATTAAAATTATTTCAACCCTTTTACTTTAAAATATCTAGTAAAAATTCACAATGTATAAATTAGTCAATATAACAGCCATTTATATAACAAGTGATAAAAATAAGGAGGATACTTGAAATATTAACAATTTATTGTTTTTTTTATTAAAAATAATGTAAACCACATTTGTTTCTATTTTATATAACATAATATATTTTGTAAAAGGGCAGAAATAATTTGTACTAAATTTTTTATAAAATATTTCTAGTGGTACATAAAGTACATCATTTAAAGTTAGATGAATACATTATTGTAAATTTCATACACAGGCATGCTTAAAATTTTTTATAGTATAAGAATGGTTCGAAATTACACTTATAATTTAACAATGATATTTCATATATTTCAAATTATTAATTTCATCACATAAAAGAGTCCATGTCTCGTTTAAGACCTTAATAACTAACAATATTCTTCTTAAAAGTCGTACGATTTGTTCACTGTAGTAATTTTTTTGATAATTTAACATAATTCAGCCCATACAAAGTAATTGTGTACATTTTATAACTTGACTTTTTATTAAGTATTATAGTGAGAGGTTTTAATGGGTAAGTATACCTTCATAATATTCATTTATCTTATCTTATATATTTCAACGAGCAATTCTTGTATATATTATATATATATATATATATATATATCAATAACCTGTTTCAAAATAACAGCTGTTCCATCAATACTTAGGAGTGAGGGATATTTATCGTAACAGATACAAATCACAAGTATTCGTTAATACTAGATAACAGAAAGTTCTTGTGATATCAAATATCTGTTAAAAAATAATATTCATATTTCACAATACTCAATCACTATACTGTACTCAATAACAATTAACACGAAGTTGTTGGTACTTCATGTTATCTGTTATTTCTTGATTCTTCTTCGTGTGTAATGTGAATTAATCTGTCTCGCTCACACCCGCTTGATTATAATAGCATAAAACGAGAAGCACCTAGTATTATTACCCGAAAATTCAAATTGTACTCTTAGTTCTTACAAGAAGATATCATTCTTGAAAAGTGACAACTATTTCTAGTCGTATAACAATAACTACGACTTTGAAGCCTAAACATAAAGGTCCTCTAATCTTTAACGTGATTAATTTACTGACAGATCTTGCTTTGAAAAATAACAGCCTGTTATTTAATAACAGATATTCACAAAAATCCGGTGTGAGTAACAAGGTCTATTCCGAGCGGGCTAATTGGGATCAATACACATACACTACAAGGAGATTTGATAGAAACCGGATGAAAACCGATAAATAGCTTAAAGATTTATGTGCTGGCTATAAGCATTGCCGTCTAACCGCTGTAATTTTGGTTTTATGTAAAGACTACGCGCTTATTTTTGTTTAAAACTTTATTTTAAATATTTTTAACTGTTATTTGTTGAATGAACATATTTGAAATTACGTTTATATTTAAAAAATGCATTTGGATTTTATTCAATGGCTCTAACGATCTTAATTCAAAAAAAATAATAATTAAATAGCAGAGTTTTACCTACCATTAAAACTCATATTATGTCCGGAGCCTTGTTCGAGGCCTAATAAACAATATTGAGATGACATCTTCCGTTTCCGGCCGCTTTTAGTCGTTGTAGTTCACTTAAATTTAAGAAAATATGACAATTTCCGGCCGCCATGTTCACCAGGTGATTGCAATCGGCCATTGGAGTTCCTCTTCATTGTGGTCTCAATTAGCTACTTATATCTAACTTAAATAACACCAGGCAGAATTTACTGTTAGGCCTCGAATAAGGCTCCGGACATAATATGAGTTTTAATGGTAGGTAAAACTCTGCTATTATGTCCTTCCGCCGTTATTCGAGGCCTAATAAACAATATTGAGACAGTGTTTGTTATCGCCTGGTGAACAAGACGCCAATGTGATTATAAGATAAATACCTACTACAATAATTACATTTAGTTTATGCATCAATTTCAATTATATCCTTTCTTTCTGTTTTTTTTTCTTTTTCTTTTTTTTTAATATTTATTATTTATTTATTCATTTCTTTTTTCCTTCTTTTTTATTACTATTATTATTTTATATATATTTCTACTTTTTTTTTCATATTATTATTCCCTTCATTATTACTTTGTCAAATAACATTTCAGTTAATCATTAGATAAACAATCACAAATCACTTTACGCAAAAAAGTAGATTACTATCTTACAGGTTTAAACAACGCTCTTAGGGAGACGCTATCTGAAATTACATTAGGCAATGGTCTTATTTCTTTTTTGTAGAACTTTGAGAAAGTTTTTACAGACTTCCTAGACTTTTTAGCTCTAGATAGGATTTTGTCCAATGGTTCACTATCCAACCAACCCCTGGACACCACAGCTGATCTCACGCTACCTGGTGTTGCATCAACGCCCGCGTTAGACAAAACAGATTTTACCCAGCCTGCGATTACAGTACGAGAAGCAGCTTTAGCGGGTCCACGGGCTGTTACAAAGAGGTTACTTACTTTTCCTTCTCTACGTCTATCCTTTCCGAATTGTATTAGCTTTCTTACTCATAGTACAGGATCTATATCAGGGTTCTCATTATTCGAGTACAATTTCCAATCTGATTGAGTATAAGACACAGAATCAGTCTTAGAACCGAACATAGGCCAAAATGTTAAACAGTTAGCTTCAGTATCATCTATAAAGTTAGAATCCGATATACTAAGCAGTGTTAGATCATGCACTCTACGCCCAGAACAAAGTAAAAGTAGAGTAGCACAACGTCGTGATATTTCCCACATATTTAGAATAGGCGGGTTTCTACTCGACAACCAAGATATAACAATATTTGTATCCCAAATATTGGTTTCGACACGATTCTTAGCATAACTAGCCGCGATAGCTTTTAATACTTGTTTCACTAATATATTAGAGCTTAGTTTAGCATTATTTTCGGTAGTACACAAGGTAGCGACCACAGATTTATGAATTAGAATAGTTTTATAAGATAACCTATAATACTTTCTTAGATTTACGCGAATGTTTGACATTTTTAAATAAAACTATCTTTTCGGATTATTTCGCGGATTTATTTTGATTTTTGGTTCCCGACGTTTCGAATGCTTTACAGCATCCATGGTCACGGGAGAGACTGAGGTGTTACATGTCTTAAAGATATAGTTGTTACAGACAGCCTACCCACAATTAACAAAATGAAAATTGCACCAATTACATTACAATATTTTTAACTTTAAACATTTTTTATAATTTTAATTATAATTGAATATGGAAAATTATTTATTTAATTTTTGCTATTATTTTTATAATTATTACAATTTTAAAAATATTAATTAGTAATCTATATTTAGTGTTGCCATTATTATATTTATAACCATAAATAAAAAATATAAAAATATAGTATTAATTATTAAAGCCATATAATTGTTCTATGTGTAATTTAAAAAGTTAAAATTAATTACGGATAATCATTTTAATTTAGTTTGCTATTATTTAAAAACAACTTACTAAGCAACACTATTAATATATACTTTTACAAATGAAAAATATTAATCTGATAAGCTGTCATTTTGATCTACACAGTATGAACTTACTACATCTGCCTGTCTGTTATGTTTATATTTATTATTTGATTTTATTATATTAATAACAGGATCCCATGACGATGGTAGTACCCAGCCATCTTCCCTATTGAAATTTGGATGTTTTTTAATTTCTATGGCTTCTCGAATCATTCTAGGGCGATATCGGTTTTCTTTCGCCAGGATTTGAGGTCTATCGAAACGAATATAATGGCTTGGGCGGTCCTGGCTATGTTTGCAGTCAGCAGATGTTGTATTGCGACGGTGCTTCACATCAGCTATGTGTTCTTTGACCCGGGTTCTAATGGATCGTTTTGTTTGTCCAATGTAAGAGAGCCCACAATCACAATCAAGCTTGTAGACTCCTGCATCTTGTAGAGGGATGTGGCACTTGACAGGTGAAAAGAACTGACTAATTTTCTTTGGCGGCTTGAAGTAAGTTTTAATTGAAGCTCGCTTTAGAATGTAGCCAATCTTGTCAGTGACTCCTTTCATGTATGGCAAGACTGCAGGGACGCGCTCGACTGTGGCTGGTTTCACTCGGTCACTGTGACGCAGGCGCGGCACTTGCAGCTTGTTGTCACGCAGAACTTGCTTGACATGTTGCAGTTCTCCGGCCAGGTGTTGCTCGTCACAGATCCCGCGCGCTCTCTGAAACAGAGATTTTCCCACGGTAGCTAACTGTGAAGGATGGTGGTGAGATTCACCGTTCAGGTACCTATCAGTATGGGTCTTCTTTCTATACACAGTATGACTCAAGGTGTTATCTGGGTTACGTTTAACTAATACATCTAGGAAAGCTAAGGTTTTGTCCGATTCTAATTCCATTGTAAATTGAATTTTAGGATTTATAGAATTAAGGTGTTCTAAGAATACAGTTATTTTATCAGAAGGTAATATTGTAAAAGTGTCATCTACATACCGCTTGTAGAAACGAGGGGTCACGGGTGATGTGTTCAGAGCAGTTTCCTCGAAGTCCTCCATGAAGATGTCGGCTACGACGGGGGAGTCTGGCGAACCCATGGCCACTCCATCCATCCATGTGACGAGCAACACCTGGCCGGAGAACTGCAACATGTCAAGCAAGTTCTGCGTGACAACAAGCTGCAAGTGCCGCGCCTGCGTCACAGTGACCGAGTGAAACCAGCCACAGTCGAGCGCGTCCCTGCAGTCTTGCCATACATGAAAGGAGTCACTGACAAGATTGGCTACATTCTAAAGCGAGCTTCAATTAAAACTTACTTCAAGCCGCCAAAGAAAATTAGTCAGTTCTTTTCACCTGTCAAGTGCCACATCCCTCTACAAGATGCAGGAGTCTACAAGCTTGATTGTGATTGTGGGCTCTCTTACATTGGACAAACAAAACGATCCATTAGAACCCGGGTCAAAGAACACATAGCTGATGTGAAGCACCGTCGCAATACAACATCTGCTGACTGCAAACATAGCCAGGACCGCCCAAGCCATTATATTCGTTTCGATAGACCTCAAATCCTGGCGAAAGAAAACCGATATCGCCCTAGAATGATTCGAGAAGCCATAGAAATTAAAAAACATCCAAATTTCAATAGGGAAGATGGCTGGGTACTACCATCGTCATGGGATCCTGTTATTAATATAATAAAATCAAATAATAAATATAAACATAACAGACAGGCAGATGTAGTAAGTTCATACTGTGTAGATCAAAATGACAGCTTATCAGATTAATATTTTTCATTTGTAAAAGTATATATTAATAGTGTTGCTTAGTAAGTTGTTTTTAAATAATAGCAAACTAAATTAAAATGATTATCCGTAATTAATTTTAACTTTTTAAATTACACATAGAACAATTATATGGCTTTAATAATTAATACTATATTTTTATATTTTTTATTTATGGTTATAAATATAATAATGGCAACACTAAATATAGATTACTAATTAATATTTTTAAAATTGTAATAATTATAAAAATAATAGCAAAAATTAAATAAATAATTTTCCATATTCAATTATAATTAAAATTATAAAAAATGTTTAAAGTTAAAAATATTGTAATGTAATTGGTGCAATTTTCATTTTGTTAATTGTGGGTAGGCTGTCTGTAACAACTATATCTTTAAGACATGTAACACCTCAGTCTCTCCCGTGACCATGGATGCTGTAAAGCATTCGAAACGTCGGGAACCAAAAATCAAAATAAATCCGCGAAATAATCCGAAAAGATAGTTTTATTTAAAAAAGATAACCTATGTTTAAAATGAAGATCTGCCAAATATTGTGCTAAATCGGCACCTACTGGATTAATAGGGCTTATATCTGAGGATTGACACCATTTTACCCATCTCTCCCAAGCAGGTTTGTATGTATTAAGAGTGGATTTTCGCCATCCTGCCATCAATAAAGCCTTCTGTTGAGTAGACCATGGTTCTACTGCTTCAGACCACCTCCACATTTCCAAACTTCGAGAGTCAGATCTTCTAGTTTTGGTGGGGGACGGCCCGTCGACAGATCTATCAATTTCGACTCTAGTTGGTAGATTTTGAATGGGGGTGCTATAGCTCGAGCTTTTAAATCCGCTCTCCAAAACGCCTGCGTCCACCTCGGTGCTACTATTAGATATGTGCCGACCGCTCGATTGAGATGCATAAGAACTCTTGGCATTAAGTTCGGAGGCGGAAATATCCACACTAGTCTGAACTTCCATTCCCAAGCGAACGCATTGTGTCTCCACGCTGCTCGATCCGTTTGATCCAGGCTGACATATTTTGGAACAACATGGGCACGACTGGACGCAAATAAATCCACATCCGGGACACCCTATTTTTGAAATACTACCTGTGTCAACGCAGGAAGAAGGTGCCACTCTGGAATTATCGACTTCCGGGATAGGCGATCGGCAACACCGTTGAGCTTTCCGGGAATATGATGTGCAACTAGATGAATGTCGAATCGATTTAGAATTTTGAAAATTTTGTAAGTCAGGCTCATTAGTGGCACCGATCGACTTCCTCCTTCTTTCCGTAGATACGACCGACTTGTTGTCGCACTGAAGTAACAACGATGAATGGCTTAGAAGAGGACCGAATTGGTGAAGACGCTTCAATATGCTCAACATATCTTTTTGATTCGAGTGAATTCTGGATTCCTCTCTCGACCATTCGCCCCGTATCTGTACCCCATTTAATTCTGTTCCCCAGCCGGTCTCGGCAGCGTCTGTCGTTAAGAAGTGGGTCAGAAGTGGAAGGTGAAGTAGAGACGACCTGTCGCAGTTCCGCCTCCACCACTTGAGTTCTTTCATTACCTGTATTGGTAGCCGAGTTTTCTCCTTGACATTGTTTTGAAGCATAGATATGCAATGTTTCAGGAGATAGCGGAAGTTTAATCGACCCTGTGGGACAGCCAGACGGACAAAATTCATGGTCCCTACTAGACCTTGAACTTCCCGAAGCGTCGCTTGTTGTTGTGTGAGAAATCTTGCTATAGTAGTCTGTAGACCCAGAATTTTCTTCTGTGGCAGGCTTTTCTTGTTGTTCCAGGTATCCCATACTAGACCTAAGTACTCCAACGACCTCTGGGGGACTAGGATTGACTTGGATGTGTTGACGATCCATCCTAACTCTTTTAGAGTTTTGAGAACAACCTGGGTTTGCTCTAACAACTTTGACCTGTTCTGACACACAACTAAAAATCGTCGAGAAAAACTACAATTCGAATCCCCTGTTCTCTTAGGATTTCTGCTGTCCAATTTGAGAGGCATGCGAATACTTTGGGAGCCGTTGCTAGACCAAATGGCAAAGAGGTCATCTGTAAGAGTTGACCTCTGTAAAGCAGTCTTAGAAAACACCGATGAGACGGAGCTATCGGCACATGATAGTATGCCTGCGTCAGATCGATTTTTATCATCCAGTCGTTCGGCTGTAAAAAGTCCGGAATGCGAGGAACCGAGATAAGTCTGAACTTTGTCACTTTTACAAAATGATGTAGTCTCTTCAGATGAGGTACATATTCTAAAATTCTTTCTGTAATTAGATTGTTTATTGTTTGATCCATCCTGCAAGTTGGTACAGTCTGATACCGATTGTTGGTGAGGTGCGGTAAAACAAGCGGGGGCTGTGCTTTTAAAGGAATTTTGTAACCTGTTATAATGTGCAACAAGGGGGTCGGTGCGCCTAACCTTTGCCATATCTCCCGGAACATCCCTAATCTGCCCTCCCGAAACGTCTGTTTTTTGTCAAAAGTTCTTACCACCTCTCCCTCTTCTTTTGATGCTAATGTGTTGGATGGATGCGCCGTGTTGATTAAATGATTTCCTAGGGTTACTCGGGGCTTGTGGACCCGCGGTAAATGATTGTGGCTTGTATTGAGGTCGAAAAAGCCGCTCATTTCCCGCATAAGCTGGAAAATTGTAATTAAATGCATAGGGTTGCATAGGAGCATACGACCTATACAGATATTGAGGGGCTCTACATTGTAATGCAAACGGTGCTGTGGGACGACCGGTTTAATTGTAACTAGTGGATCCAGGTTGCGCAGCCTGAGATGTACCAGTACTTCTCTTCTCTTGCGCAGAGAAGGAAGGTCTTGAAAATATTTTATTAATGCCCCCATTATTATTTAAAAAGTCTGAAAATTGCTCTTTACTAAATAAAAAATCACAGGATGGAGGTGTCTTTTTTAAGGTAGCTTTTAGAAATCTATCTTTTACAAAATTCAAGAATGCTTCTCGTCTTTGTTCAATAATATCGGCCCGACGCCCACAAAGCAACTGTAAACAATCAAGAGATATCTTTTGAAATTCACCCGAAAAAATATCTTTAATTTTCTTTTCCAGATCGACTTTAACAAAATTATCGGTATCTTGTACCCACTGCAGTAAATCAAATACTCCTGATTTTAAAGCATCGCTTTGCATAATTATGCCATGCGTAATTGCGCCTAAAGACCTATCTGTTGTAACTAAATTATTTATTTTATCAAACTGTTTAATTTCATCGTTCACTTCAAGTTCAACAAAACCTGGCCTGGCATTATATAACTTTTGAATTTCGGAGTAACGTACGTTAGTCCAATTTTCAGAATTAAAATGTTGAAATGAATTTAATAATTGTAAATGATCGGAAGACGTACTCAATACTGTAGGTTCTTTTAAACTCGTTTTTAAATTAAAATCAAATTTAATGGCCGACTCGGCGGGTACCTCAACTGAATGTGCATCCTGTTGGGTTGGCACCAGATTTTCTACATGTGTTTCTAATGGGTGATGATACCCGGGGTCAGCGGGGTACCAACCCGGCGGAGGATATGCATTGGAAGCCAAATAATTCTGAATTTGACTTACTTGTTCAGCAAGGTGTTCTAATACCTTACTCTTTTTCTAACATCCTACCTCCCTCCTAGACAACTTTCGTTTACGACGTTGCGGCGGATCCTCTTCGCCGCTGGTGGACGAGGACGACGTCAGCTCGCCCTCATGTACACTTTTATCACGCACATTTATATCACTTTCCGACATTATTTCGTTTTTTATTAAGAAATACGCACTTTGAAAACAATTACGATAAACTGTAGGTAGTTTAACAAAACCTTTTTAACGATATTTACACTAAATCACAGAATAATTACATTCTACACAAACAAATATTTACTCATCTATAATTATAATTCCTATAAAATACCTCAAACTTGAAACGTAAATTTATTTATTTGAATTAATATTTTTTTTTAATAGTGTATTTTTTATGAAATTTAGATGTGGGAGCCTAATTATGATAACAAGTTTTTAGTTTTCATAAGATTATTTAGTTATATGCACATATATTATGCCTCGAATTCTTGGCTAATCCTGAGTGCAAACTTTTAAACTATGATCTTCTTTGGTAATAAATTATTTGAGCTTTAATATTCTTGTTAATTATTGATATGGATGGTTTGATTTAGATACATAAAATAATTTAAAGTTTGGTGAAAGTAACGTAACTAAGCTAAAGTAATGTGATGCTTTATTTTTTGTCGCCATCATAATGCCTACTCGTAAGGAAAATATTAGTCACGATTCTATTATAAAGTCATATCACATCAAGTAGCGAAGTCTAACCAGTAACATAAGAGTTAGCATGTAACTATACGTTCAAAACGACCATTGTTTCGCCCTTCCCTTATATTTCTCATGAACTAATTGCTTAAGCCGAGGTCAAGACCGTAAGACGTGAATTTTTCACCTGGCGTGATGTCATGTAGACGTTTTTTCGTACACGTTATTTATTCGTTCGCCTCACAGACCAGTTTTAGCCTGTATTTAATTTTGTTTATAGCATAATATTATGTGTTTAATGTTACACAAGTGCTCATTTTCTTAAAGAAAACCGCGCATGCGCAGAAGCGTTATCTTCATGCCGTGAACTTGTGATTGTGAAACAAGCGACTGTCGCACACAAACATAGTTTATTTGCGTTTTGTATATTCGTGAGTGAAGTAAACCTTAGAGCGATCCTGTGAACGTGAAGTTAACCTCACAATTTTTGGATAAAATTAAGGTGATTCATTGACATAGCGTTGTGTTTGTTGTCTAAAATAAAACCAAATGGCTAATGTCATGCGTGCTAATGAATTAGAAATAAAATTAAAGACGTAAGAATTACGTCTTGTCAAAATCGATAAGATGGAAAAAATGATGTTGCCTTAGATATAACAATGGATAAATGTTTTGTCGCCTGCGGCTGTGATGATCTAGAAGGAATTACAAAATCAGATTTAGATCGGTATACGGATAAAATAGAAAATGTTCTTAGTGACCAGAAAGGGCGGAGACTTTTTAGGAATTTCATGTTTTCCTGTAAAATGAATCACGGTCGCCGTGTATTAGATTTTTGGGAAAATATCGAAAGGTTACTCAATCAAAGTGAAGATTCAGAGGGTGCATCTTTTGTTCATTATTTGCGAAATTACGACCGTTTGTCTGAAGAAGCTGAGAGAATAGAAGAATTAGATCTTGCTACCATGGAGAGAATGATAACCGCGCGAGACTCGGAGAACAAAGAAGAAATGGAAGAATGTCTTAAAATTTTAAAAGTAGAAGCAACAAAAGCACTTAGAAGGGAGTATAACGCATTCAGACATCGATTTATTTCATCCAGTAGTAATTGATGCACTTTGTTTGTAAAGTACACTGTGCCTTGTTTTTGTAAAGTTTGTATTTCGCGCCAATTATTGCACGATTTTTCGAAATATGAATCAGTGAATGAATGAAAATGTCAGCTGGATGGACTTTATAGCAAACGTTCATTTTTGTACCAAAACATTGAAAATGTGAATTTATGGAATAAATTATTTTTTATGCTTTACAAATGTTTTAATTTCCATACCACAAGTAAAAAAAAACTCATCAAAAATTGAATTGTCATTTAATGATAATTGCACATTTATTGTACATTCTAATAATTTATTATTATACAGAATAAAATTTTATTGCAATATACAATAATTGATATATAGAATGGATTGTACTTATTATTAAATTAAAACATGACCATACATCTTTATATTCAGCCATTATTAAAATTATTTCAACCCTTTTACTTTAAAATATCTAGCAAAAATTCACAATGTATAAATTAGTCAATATAACAGCCATTTATATAACAAGTGATAAAAATAAGGAGGATACTTGAAATATTAACAATTTATTGTTTTTTTATTAAAAATAATGTAAACTACATTTGTTTCTATTTTATATAACATAATATATTTTGTAAAAGGGCAGAAATAATTTGTACTAAATTTTTTATAAAATATTTCTAGTGGTACATAAAGTACATCATTTAAAGTTAGATGAATACATTATTTCATACACAGGCATGCTTAAAAATTTTTATAGTATAAGAATGGTTCGAAATTACACTTATAATTTAACAATGATATTTCATATATTTCAAATTATTAATTTCATCACATAAAAGAGTCCATGTCTCGTTTAAGACCTTAATAACTAATAATATTCTTCTTAAAAGTACTATTATTTGTTCACTGTAGTCATTTTAGTTATGATTACATAACTAAAATGCAAATTATTTCTAGGTTTTTTTCCAGGAGTAATACATTTCCAGGGGCTTATTGACCTGAAAAGATAATTATACTTTATAAAAAAAACTTTATTTAACTATGAAAGGAAAAAAGCTCCCACTAGACAAACAAAATATTAAAAATCCAAAAAAATAGTTCTATTAAAAATGTAAGATATTCACCTACATGATAAATCTAAGAAAGTATTATTAAAGGTACAATAAAATTATATTTTATTCCATACATTTTTTGAAAGAAAACAAAAGTATAAACTTATAAACAACTTATTTACTTTATCAAATTCATATAAATGTTTTTTTTTTGATAATTTAACATAATTCAGCCCATACAAAGTAATTGTGTACATTTTATAACTTGACTTTTTATTAAGTATTATAGTAAAAGGTTTTAATGGGTATACCTTTATAATATTTATTTATGTTCATAAAATGCTCAATTTTTTATAATTTTTGATAGCAGAAGTCATAAAAACTAGATTACCTTCCAAAATTTATCATTGATCTGTCTTAATGTTTGAGAACCAGCCAGCGGTACAAATTGGCCAGGAGACGGAGCCACATAGATACAAAAATTTAGAAGACGGTAAGCCTCTGGAAGTTCAGCATCCAAATCTAATGTAAGACGCATTGCTAAGTATTTGCTGAGGTGGTCCACTGTAAAGATAAGATTTTTGGAATAAATTAAAAATCCAATATATTTATATAGGTCAGACATGAGATATAGTTTGTTATTACTTAATTTATTCGTTTTTATGTATCTATGCCCCTCATCAGGTATTACATATTTATAACACTAATACAGAAATGCAACATGACTGCAAATTAAAAAGTAATTAAATAAATTGTTATTTTTAACGAAAATAACATATCTTAATTAGTCAAATACTTAAGTCTTGATTACAAATGATGAAGAACAAGAAATTATCTTTAATAAAAAGAAACGAAATTTGTGATTATTAATTCCCATATATACATTGTAAAAAAATCATTAATGTCCAGCATTAGCTTGTATTTTATGGAGTGTCTTTGGTAAAGGATTTGTAGATATTATTAGGGTTATTGCTATTATGAATACCTGAGGCATTAGCTGTTGTTTTCAAATAACGAACCGAACTGTCTCTCAAAGCTCTCATAAGCTGGTTGTCTCCTGTCATCTCTGTGGGATGAGGCTTGAACACCAGCTCTATTTCGTTGGGATTCAGTGGTTCCCCTTCTCCCTCTGTGTCCATTGAGTTCTCACCTTCAGTTCTAAAATGTGCCATGAAAAGGAAATATGGACAAACTATTCAAGTGTGGATATAAAAACACTTTTGTAAATAAGTTTATGAAATCTTATTAGATTGAAAGTAAAAATTGACAAAACAGTTTAAAATTAGATAAAGAATAAAGATCACTTAAAGTCAAATTCTATATACCAAGTTTAGGATTTATTAATTAATATAAACAACATTACTTTGCATTTAATATTTTAAAAACTTAAAAACATAAGATTATGAAACTGACCTGCCATCACTTGATTCACTCTCTTCACTGCGTTCTGATGTTAAAATTGATTTTGCTCTTTTAGTTGTGCTTGTGTTTTTTGACACAGAACTAACATTTGATGGTACAGGGGAAGGAGTACTTCTCACTGAAGCTGGGTTTGATGTAGACTGTCCAGGTGGAGTGGGGTTGCTTGCCGAAGATGTACTGTCTTTGGGAACTGATGAACTACTCCCATTTTGTGTAGGTTCCGTATTCCCATTTGAATTTGGCGTGTTACTATTTTCTTCATGGTTCTTTTTTGCTCTCTGTGGCCTATTTTGTGACTGTAGCTTTATACCTTCAGTAATAGAGTTCACTAAGGAAGCTTGAGATTGGGACATATTTATTTTAGCCAATACACGTTCTTGATGTGCTTCATATTCATCTCTACTCGGATAAATTTTCGATATGAGCAAGTCAAAGTTAGGATCAGGTCTTAGAGATCGTTTTGAAACCAGTTTCTTGCGACAAGTTGGGCATTCCTTGTTGCCAGAACGTAGAGCTGTTATAATACAGTCAGAACAAAACCTATGTAAACATTCTTTAGTAGTCATCGTTTTTTTCAGCATGTCCAAGCAAATTGGACACATCAATTCACTATGCAAGCTTCGAGGCGATACAGCAATCTCCGTAGCGTCAGTTATAACTTCTTGAGGAGTACGATGTAGTTCATAAAGGGATAGTTCCCATGTTTTATTTTGAGATGGCTCCGTCGAAGACATATTGATTTTATGAATTTATTTCGACGTACCTACTTAATAAATAATAAACATTATGCTGAATTGACAATTAAAACCGCTTTCGCCATATTTTGTAGTTTGGCACAGGTAAAAAATATACTATATAGTATCTGTTCATACAGATACAAAATTTAAATAATTATCAGCAAAAAACAGAGTACAAATATAATAGGGAAGATTTCTCGAAAGGAAGACGCTACACGTATGATTAATTATTTACATTCGGCAAACAAATTATTATGATAACTCTTTTGTACCTGATTTTTTGCTTCTATTGTGTTAGCATCTTACTTGTGCAATGTATTGGATATTATTTAATAATTTCGTCAGTTTTTATCTTTTGGGAACAAAATATATACATATTCTATGCATCCTGACACTGCACAATTATTGGTTATTTTAATTAAAATTTAATTAAATGAAAAATTTCCGTCCTGAATATATAGCTTTAAAATATACTGAGGATTATAGTGATCGTACGTACTATTATTACTATTATATACTATACCATACTAATATTGTAAATGTGAAAGTGTGTTTGTTTGTTTGTCCTTCTTTCACGTCGAAACAGAGTGGAGGATTGGCGTGATTTTGTGTGTGGAGATAGTTGGAGGGCTGGAGTGACATAGGCTACTTTTCACTCGGGAGATAAACTCATTCCCACGGGAAAACACGTTATAATACAATCCAAAAAAAATATTATTAAAAAAATAAAATTAAAAAATACAAAAAAAAAATTACTTGAAACTTGGCATTAATGCTCTTCAACAGAATTAAATACGTGTTTTAGTATTTTTCGAAATTCATCCTATAAGGGGGTAAAAAGAAAGTGAAAGTTTGTATGAGACCTACCTTTTTAGTTTTTTTTTTGTACTTTTAGCGGGAGCGAAGCCGCGGGTTTTGCTAGTATGTAAAACAAACCATTTATAATCATATTCATTTATATAATATTTTGAATAAAACTATTATATTTTGAAAACTAATAATAATTACAAACCAGTAATCATAATTTTTAACAAGAGCACATAATACAATTCAAAACTTATTTTTTATTTGTATACATTTTACTATTCAATAAGGTAATGGAATAAAATTGAAAACAGAATAAAAAATATTTTTTTTAACTTCATTTCATATTATTTGATTTTAATTACCGTCTTCTGTTTCTCACAGTATATATCGGTCCAGATCCTTGCGATTGTTGTACGGGAATTAAGATTGTAGCTCCATTATTAGAAACTTGATTTTGGTTGTTATTTGGATTACTTACTGGAACATAATACACGCTGCCTGGATTTGGTTTTGATATAACGACTTGATTTCCATTTACCATAGGCTGTCCAACAGATACCAAAGTCTGACCAGACTGACTGTTCGGTTGATTTGGCTGGCTAACAAAAATAGTTTGTTGGCCTTGTTGAGGCTGTGACACAACATATGTGGGCTGTTGATTAGGATGGCTAATATAAATTGGTTGTTGGTTTTCTTGTTGATTAGGCAGCTGATTCACAAATACCGTCGGTTGATTTGGTTGCTGTACAACAATTCCTTGATGATTTGGTTGTTGAGCTACTAGAACAGTTTGCTGACTAGGTTGTTGACTTACTAACATGGCTTGCCCTTCATTCGGTTGTTGATGAATAAAAATGGGTTGCTGATTTGGTTGCTGAACGTATATTTGATTTGGTTGTTGGTTCATGTAAACTGGTCGGCTTTCTGTTTGTGGTTGCATCACAATTTGTCCTTGTTGACTAACCATAACTTGTTGTTGTTGTTGTGGTTGACTAACCATAACTTGTTGTTGTTGTTGTTGTTGTGGTTGACTAACGATAAATTGTTGTTGTTGTGGTTGACTAACCATGACTTGTGGTTGTAGTTGATTTTGTGGCTGTTGCTGACTTTGTTGATTTACTACAATTGGTTGCTGGTTAGGTTGCTGATTAATTACAGGTGATTGTTGAGCAGGTTGTTGATTAACCACAACTTGTTGTTGATTTCCTTGTTGGTTTGAGGAACTCGGTTGTTGATTGACTGTCACTGAAGATTGCGATGATTGTTGATCTATTTGTTGGTTTTGCGGGTTAACTTTTAAGATCGATTCACCTTGTTGTGATGACTGATCCGAATTTTGTTGCATTCGGTCCGATAGCTGATTATTAATAGCTTGAACATTATGTTTATCTGCTTCAGCTTGAAGATTTTTAAAAGTCTCAGCTGGAATAAATACTCCTGATACTATATCTCTACCTTGTGCATTAGGTGTTGGAATTCCATTTGCAGATAGTAAAATTGCTGATAGCAGGGTTATCTAAAACAAAAAAATAACATTAAAAAAATGAAAAGAATAATTTAATTATCGTAATCTAATTTAAATATACTGATGTAATCATCAATCAATCAAGATCAAGTACATTTTATTATGTACTTTTTTTACGATATTTTAATATTTTTTTAAGTAAATGTACCAAAAGTATGGCGTCCATGATAATGATCCAAAAGCTTCTGATGAAATAAAATTGAAAACTATCTTTTTATATTAAGAAAAGTAATTAGAATATCAATTAACAGTTCCGTTACCAATATTCCCAAATTGGATAGAAAACCTAATTAGTGGTTGTCGCAATGATATTTTAAAAACCTTCATTAGTGATAATTAAGATTAAAAACAAAGAGTAATCTACAATAGCACATATGAAAATAATTACGTAATTTATGGAATTATTTAATTTAATTATTATTATTATTGAATTATTAATCAGGGATTTAATTTTTTTTATTCATTACTAGTGAATTACGTTCGGTTGACTCAGGTCCCTGCAAGTCTTTTTACTATTTATTTATTTATTTATTTGTAAAAAGCACACTTACAACATACATATGAAACATTTTCAATTTAATTAATGTAATAATAATATACCTTATATGTATGTCAATTATAAGTGTACATAGCATTTAAATATTCATGAATTAAAAGTACAAAAATTAAAAAATAATAATAATTATTATTATAGATAAATGTCATAATACAAAAGAAATTGATAATAATACATAATAATAAGAAGTAAAATTAAAATCATCATTATAAACAAAAAAAATACAATTATTAAGATTAACAACCATGCATTTTATAATAATTAAATAACTTATTTCTAAAAATTGATGGAGAGTCATAAAAAATATCAATGCCAGAAATTGATTTAAGGATTACATTATTTTTGTTACATAACCGTACCAAAGGGGGCTTGTTTACCGATGTTAGATCTGACTGCTATCCATTTTATTGCTTTATTTCAACTAACTTTGGTAACGCACGCCGCTCTATGACCACTCAGTGGGCTAGTTTTTTTCCGACTTTTACTAAATTTATTATGATATCTGACCATAAACATATCTTTATCGAAATGAAAAATTCGGTGGTAATTTATCTTCTTATTAAGGCTGCTCTCTCGAAAATACAATATTTTCGGGATCTTTGAGATCACTGCCTTTCAAATATAAATGCTAGAACTCTTATACTTTTTTACGTAGTTTTTCATTTCAGTCTGAACAAACGTTCCAAAGCAGAAATTTGATTAGTTAAGTTTTTTATTACAAAAAAAAAGATATAAAACGCCTTTGTTTTGTCTTATTTTTGCCTTCTTCTTTGACCGAATATAACTTATTACTTGAACCTTACATTGAAAAATATTTCAAAGTCAGTGCTTTCATTACACCAAAATATAAATGAATATTATTTGAATATTACTCTTTAAATTAAATGAAATAGTTTTGGCGCTTACGGCTTTTACTTCCAAGCAACTGGGGGTCCCTGCGCGGTGCGGGGGACGCGTCGGCGCCGTTTTCGCTTATCCAAGCCCATCCGCCCAGATCCCTAAGGACGTTAGCAGCTACCACAGCTTTAATGAAAGGAATAAAGATACAGTAACATCAATAGGTACAAAGATAACTTCCAAACTACATATATCCAAACATACAAACTGTATCTCTTTATAATATTAGTGTAGACCTGAGATTTAGAACCCACTTTAAATCTGTGATGTAGACTATATTTGTAAGTATATACAGATATTTTTCAAATTATTAAAAATTACCAATTTTATGATCTGCTCAAATTTAGACATATAAACTATTTCAACTAAAACCAAAGTGGGAAAAGATAGAGTTCGTATCCGGAAAGAATTCGTATCAAGTACCTTAGATGTATACAGACACAGAGCCTCACTCATACCGAATACGTAAGTTAAGATAAAAATATAACAATTTATTTATTGGCTTGGTGGGTACCAATAAATGCGAGTGGTGCCGATGTCTTTGGTTAGTTGTTGGGGTAGTGCCGCGGAAATTAATACGATATTTAAATGGTATTTTTAGAGTTACGTCTCAATATGTACTGTGTAATATATTATTGTTCGCAAAAAGAAAAAATAATTATGTAAGAAACAGTGATAAACACACAATAAACACTAGGAATAGAAATAAGCTTGTTACGCACAGATTTCGCCTCCAAAAGGTGAAGAAATCCTTCGTGGGCCTCCTAGATTTACCTATTCAAAAATTATAAAGGTAAAATTAAAAATATTTTATTGAGCAAAGAAATATTGACTCATTTGCGGGCTATTTATATTGTTATGTTAATAAAATAAATGTAACTTAGATATTTAAAGCTTCTTAGCAGAACTGCTTTCCAAGCCAGTGGTAGCTTCCTCACGGACTGACTACACTGGCACTTAAATTAAATTGACGATTCAAAAGTGCTTGTAATAAGTCTAATTGAATAAAGTTTATTTCATTTCATTTTCTTCCCAAAACTTTGACGAATAAAACAAAACACACTTTAATGATTTTAGGTTGGCGTATTAATATTGTATATTTGGATAACATAGGAAATGTCCGGAATGGAACAGTAAACAAAGATTTTTGTGAACACGACCAAGATTTTTTATTGTATAGCAATATACAGTGTAGCTGTATAAGTATAAAATACTTTTTTACATAGAGACTAAACATGTGTCATTTAATAAAAATATTATGTATGTACATATAAGAATTTATGACATTTAGTACAATACTAATGAAATAAAATAGTAATATACATAAAATAACAATCAATAACCGATTTGCATGTCGTAGATACATGGTTTTGTATTTGTCACGCTATTTCATAGACTTTCAGTTTTGGTGAAACTGTATATAATTTGCCAAATTACCTGAGTAAATAATAACGGCCGAAAAACCTAATGAAATGTTAATATTTTCCACATTTGCATGATCACGCTTAGTTTATTAGGTACAATTTTTTTGTTTGGATAGTATGACATTTTTGTACCCGTTCGTTACACTTAGCGATTTCTTCACTTTTGTGATATACTCGTATGTGTGCGTCGATCGTTGTGGGATCGATTGAATTAAAAAAATAGGATAATCTATCTATCTTCTATATAAATAAAAATGAAAGTTGGTAAGCGCATAACTCAAGAACGGCTGGACCAATTTGGCTAATTTTTTTTCGTATGTTCCTTATGGTCCACGGAAGTTTTTGTGAAAAAAATTAACGAAAAAAATATTAAAATTTCTATGGCTAACGCTGGCTAATAACTATTTATATCTATTTAAAACGTACCGCTAGTTAATTTAAATAATTATACATATATGTATTGATTGGCGTTGTATTAATTGTTAAATTCGTAACACTTATTTTGTATGTGTACCTATAATAAATAAAAGAAATAGATTCTAAATGATATGTAGGGGGTGGTCCTCCAGTACTGGATACTTAAGGAATATTTGAATTATTCGTTATTATATGTTTAAACCACACAAATATATAATCAGTCTCAAAAACATCTTTAAATTATAAATTTCTTTGTGGATTATCTAATATAACTAATATACGAAATAACACGTTTTCAAAAAGGTCCCCTAATTTCGGACAGTCTTTTTTTTAACCTAAAGATCAACGTAAATTATTTAAACTAGTAATAAATAAATAAATTATTAAAAATGAATAAAAAAAACGAAAACAAACAAATAATCAGAATACTTATAGGAACATTGTATGGGAGCACTAAATTTTAATATTGTGGTTTGCAAAAGTCAAATATGTAGCTAGCCGAATCATTTTGAAGTCCATTGATTACAAAGTTGGTAGAGAATCTTCTTGACAGATTATACCAATATATTATATAAGGTGCTTTTAAAATTACATTGTATTTTTAGTAAAGAAAAATAAAATTTTTACATCACATTTTCGTGATTAGTCTGATTTTTGAAAAATCTGCCATTAATTTAATGAGTTTTTAGTATTCATAAATGGTGCTGTTTATATTCTTTGAAGTTTGAGAAATTTATTTTATTTGTTGAGTTATTCATCACGGTTGATATATAATAAATAATAATTTATGTCCTTCGTAAGGTATAGCGCGACTAACACTAAACTTTTAATAAAACACTAACTCAAATGAGTTAGTGTTGGTTATACATAGAGCTTAATCATAGTAAACGGTTTAAATAGTGTATTCAGCACAAATAACAAAATGAAAAATTGCACCAAGTAGCTTACAATACTTTAATGTTTAAAGTTATAAAATATTGTGGGTAGGCTGTCTGTAACAACTATACCTTTGAGACATCTAATACCTCAGTCTCTCCTGTGACCATGATTGCTGTAAAGCATTCGAAACGTCGGGAACCAAAATCAAAATAAATCCGCGAAATAATCCGAAAAGATAGTTTTATTTAAAACATATTTGGTTTATAAATCAATAAGTGGGTACATATTAGAATACAGTCTATATTAATTTAATCTATGGCCAGTTTTAATATGCCACGTATTTGATTGAATTGAGTATGGAAGTCATTGGACGGTAATGATGCAAATTATCTGTCCCTCCATCTCTCTCGATCTACATTAGATGTACTCACGTTCAAATCTCAGAAATTACTAACTAGATTAGATATCTTAGTCCAACGGAAATGTAAATTAAATAAGACGTAGCACATGTAAGTCTTGTGATTTGATTTTTCTGTGCCGATTTATAGTTTCATTTTATTTTTCTTCAGGATTTTTCTTGATTCAATCATCAAATTTTAGTAATTTCTTTAGAGATATCGTAACATATTCATATAATACTAACTAATAAATAATAAAGAACCCTGGTCAACATTCAGTCTAATTGACGAATAATCTCACTAAATGTTCGTTTGGCTCAGTTTGTTATGACTCTACTTGCTGTGCCAGCGGTTACGGGTTTGAGTCCCGCTGGGTGCATTCATTTGTGTGACGAACGAATGTTTGTACTCCAGTCATGGGTATTCATATTTATAATATGTGTATATTTAAAGCTATATATGTGTAGTGTATCACCTATCTGGTATCTATGGTAAGACAACTTCTGGTTTATTTATATTTAATTCTTACTCTATCTGAGATATAAAATTATAGATGTATAAAATATAACTCAATGCCGGCCTGCAGTGCTTACTCTATACCTATAGCATTTATTCTATTCGAAGTTTACTATTAGCACAGATCATATAATACTATACTAGTTATATACTATACAGCTATATAGTTGTATGTTGTATGATGTTGTAGTAGTGGTTACCGATACAAACTTTCATTACCATTTTCGCCCTCTTAAGGGAAGATTTTCTAGATAAAAGTATACTATGTCCTTCCTAGGGTCTCAAACTATCTTCTTACCAAATTTCATCTAAATCGGTTCAATAGATCCAGAGATTACCCCCTACAACGTCACAAACTCACAAACACTACCTCTTTATAATATTAGTATAGATAAGAAATCACAATGAAATTCAAAAGATTAATGTTTGTACAAATACTTATTAATTATTTATAGTTATAAGTGACGGATGGTTTTATTATGTTTCATATTTCCAGTCTACTTGGCACGAACATTTAAATGTAAAAAATTAAGATTACTTTCTCTGAACACGACTTCATTGCTCTTAAATACTTATATCGTTATCATACCATCATGTAGAGATTACATTTATCATCACTCATAATGACACATATCTATAATTACTTTTTATATTAACTCTAAAACAATCGATTTTTTAAAGAAAAAAGTTGTTATTTGCTATCGATGTAAAATTGGTATATTGAACTTATAAGATATATGTATATATGTATATAATGCTGATATGAAATCGTAAACACAGGTTTGAAAATATTTATCGGTCTGTCTGTTTGTATCCGCTATGTAATATTCGTTATGTAATATTAATGGAGTACCCAAATTTTAAGCATGGCGGCTTAGGCAACTTTAAATAAGATAAGACCAGCAGCTTAAATGACATAATAAAATAGCTAGATCGATTTTGATGAAAAGAACTTTAGTCCGGTAGAGGCTTCGGTCGAAAGTGTTAGGCTACTATTTATCCTGAAAAATTGAAAATACTCCCATGGGATAGGTAGAAGATAGAAATTACAATATGCAGAATGTGAAGACCAAAGCGAGATAGAGGCAGGAGCCTTTGTATATTCATTTCCTGTTGGAATTGTGGAGGTAGCGATTCCGAAAAGTCAACTATTTCTTACAGACTAAAGCTAAAGACTAAAGCTTTTGCTATGGCTTCTAAAAGAAAACTATATCTAAATAGGCTTTTAGGTTCTTCAGATAATGACATAAAGTAACCGTATTCGATGTAGTAAATAATAAATGTGCTACAGAATTTAATATATGTATATGATCAAAACTTTATAGAAACTAAAGACGTAAAGTCAGAAATAAAATCGCTCCTCAGTATATTTTTCCCCCTTATCTTCATTAGAATGAAACCACATACACTAAATACAGCATATAAAATTTATACATATAATAAAATTCTGACAGAGTCGAATCTGTACATTAAATATTTTTTTTGGAAAATATTATCGATACAGGGGCCGAATCTATGGTTTTTAGGATTTTAGTCTGTTTGTCTGTCTGTCTAGGAACGCGAACGCATCACGAGAAAACCACTGGACAGATTTTGATAAAATTTGGTATGATGAATGCTGATTATCCGGGTATTATAAACGATACTTTTTACTGTGGGTAAATATCTCTTCCTAGAGAAATCTATACTAAGCGTAAAAACGTAACTAGGACGAACC